CGTGGTGTGGGCCCATGGGGCCTGTGGGGACAGCTCTCCAGCGCCCAGCCGATTACAGCGGAGACAGCAGTCCCAGGAGGCCCAGCTGCTACTCCAGGTCCCTGACCCCGGGGCCGCGGCCGCTGTCAGGCCAACGGCTTGGCAGACTTCTGTTTGCGGCCTTGCTCCCATGACCTTTCAAAGTGCTCAGCTGCTGTCGTGAGTTCAGTCAGACCCATGGCCTCCCATCCTGTTTTGTGTCTTTTTATCAATCCCCTAATGTTGGGAGATGCTCCACGTACAAATAGGGCAGCTAGAACACGTTGGGTGCCCTCGGTTATTGTCTAAACCGTGGAACACTGGAGGAAGGGACCTTCCAGGCAGACTTTGAAGTCGGCCACAGGCCTGTCCATTGTCGGCACATTTGAGTAACTGCAATCCCTGCGGCCCAAGAAAGCTCTAAGAACGGCTTGGGAAAGGCTGCTGCTTTTTGTGGCCCTTAAGGGGACCGTGTTGAAGGTTGGGGATCCTCAGGTGACACCATCCTGCCTCAGCTTCCACTTTGGGGCTTCCCACCCCCACCAGCAGATGCATAGCTGACGAAGGTCTGGCACCCCGGGGTAAGAAATCTAAATTCTTCAGAGAACTTTTGAGGACCCTCCCTGGATTTAGGAAATTCTTTAACGATTGCCCTTAGTTTGGCCTTTGACCAAGGAATAAAAGATACTGAGGAAGATCCCTGAGCCTCCAGCAGTTTTATTTTTAAAGGTAACTGTGTCATGGCCTCTGCAGAATCGGGAGAGTGTGAGATCTCGGGTCAAGGAGGAAGGAGCGAGCCCAAGGAGTCACATCAGTCCCAGGGTCTTGTTTTAGGCAGCTCTTATGTCTCTCGTTTTTCATTAGCCTTCTGCATTGAATCTTTGAAGCTTTTCTGGGATCGTGAAGACTTTCAGAAGCTTCCTCATCGCAATTAAGCTAGGTATCCCTTTCTGTTTGTTTAGTCTGGGAAACCTTGTTCTCAAGTCCACTTCTGAACTAAACGATCCTGTCTCATTGGAATCTTCCTCATAATGGCCATTGTAATTTTAGGCTGTTTTTAGTAAGATTTTGCCATTTTTGCAGATATTTATAGCTCTGGGACCATAGTTCTTAGACATAAAATAAGCGGGTGTGGTAGAAAGTGGTGCACTTGACTCTTTGGGGTTTAAGGATCTCATTCTTTTTGTTTTTTCTTCTTCCTTGTTTAGCTAAGCCTTTGGGGGTTTCTCAGAGCCAAACTAATACCTAAGAGAGATATGCTTCGAGGTTGGGGATCGTGCCTGCTCTACCGTGCGCCTCACTATGGGGAAATTTTCTTGAGGTTGACAGGTGACCTAGTGTCCATCTAACCCATTCTGTGACCAACTGACCCTAACACAGGAGTCGGAATTAGGTGGCAAGCGCTCTAATAGTTTTTAAGTACTTGATGGTGCCCACCAATTCTTGAGGCTTTTTGGTTCCGAGAGTCCAGTTAGCAGGAGCCTTTGTCTACAAAACAAGACGCACACACACAGCAGCAGTGACCAGGGCCACCAGCAATCCGGCCTGGAAGCGGGGACTTGGGGAAGGACTGAACCGGAAGACCCCAAAACTGAGGTCTGGAGGCTGGACTGGGCTTCCAGGCGAAAGGGGGCTGCAAGTAGGGTGTCAGGGAGACTGGAGCTCAGGGCAAAGAGCAGAGATCAGCGCAGAGAGAGCGGGGCTCAGCGCAGAGGGCGGGGCTCAGCGCAGGGGGCGGGGCTCGGCGCAGAGAGGGCGGGGCTCAGCACAGAGGGCGGGGCTCGTGCAGAGGGGCGGGGCTCAGCGCTGGGGGCGGGGATCGCGCGGAGGCGGCGGAGCTAAGCACAGGGGAGGGGCTCAGTGCAGAGGGGGCGGGGCTAGGCGCAGGGGACGCGGCTCAGGGCAGGGGGCGGGGCTCAGAGCCGGCAGCCCTCCAGAGGCCTTGCGCCAAACAGCCTCAAACTGGAGACAGCCCGTGCCAGGCAGAGCAGTTCCCCAGCCAACAACCAGAAGTCCGTCTGTAAGCCTCCACCTGAAGAAGCTGGAGAATGAAAAGCAAGTGGAAGAAACGACGCAGGGGACAGGGAATGATAGAAGTCACAGCAGAGAGCAGTGGACTTCTGACCCGTGCGGCACGACGAAGGCATGGCAGACACATGCTGGGAACACCAGGCACACAGAGCGCGCCTGCAGAATGCCAAGTGTATGGTGTCCTAGAAAACGCAAAACTAGACCGTGGTGATGTCAGTGACAGTTCTGTAGTGATGGAGATTGACTAGGAAGGGGAGTGAGGGAGCTTTGTGGGCTGGTGGAATATGCTCTAGTTCCTGGGAGGGTGAGAGTTGTGTGGGTCTGTATGTTTGTCACAGTGCATCGTGCCCCACGGTAAAGATCTATGCCTTCCATGAAACATGCCTCCATAAAAACATCCAAAACCCAGACACACAGATGGCCGACAATCCCACGAAAAGATGCTCAACATCACTCACCGGCAGGGAAATGCAAATTGGAACCACAATGAGATGCCACCTCACACCTGTCAGAATGGTGACTACTATCAGAAAGACAAGAAATGACAAGTCTGTTGGCGAGGATGTGCTGAAAAGGGAATTCTCAGGCACTGTTGGTGGGAATGCAAACTGGTGCAGCCCCTCTGGAGAACAGGATGGAGGTTCCTCAAAAAAATAAAGATAGAATTGCCATATGATCCAGGTGTGCTACTACTGGGTATTTATCCAAAGAAAACAAAAACACTAATTTGAAAAGATACATGCACCTCTATGTTCACTGCGGCATTATTTACAATAGCCAAGATATGGAAGCAGCCCAAGTGTCCATCCGTAGATGAATGGGTAAAGAAGGTGTAGTATATATACACAATGGAATATTACACAGCCATAAAAAAGAATGAGATCTTGCCACCTACAACGACGTGGATGGATGTAGTGGGTATTATGCTGAGTGAAATAAGTGGGTCAGAGAAAGACAAATACCATATGATTTCACTCATATGTGGAATTGAAGAAACAAAACAAATGAACAAACAAACAAACAAACAAACAAACAAAAAACCGGACTCCTGAATACAGAGAACCACCAGAACTCTGGTGGCTGCAGAGGGGAGGGGATTGGAGGGTGGGCGAATCAGGCAAAGGGGGTTAAGAGGTACAAATTTCCAATTATAAATAAGTCACAGGGATGGAAAGTGCAGCGTGGGGAATACAGTCAATCATCGTCACGACGCTGTGTGGTGACCGCACTCACTGTGGGGAGCTCTGAGTGACGTACAGAAATGTTGAATCACTATGTTGCGCACCCGACACTAATGTCACGCTGTGTTTTAACTACACTTCAGTAAAGAATATTTAAAACATATGAATATCTCGGCTGCAGAAACAAGACTCACACTAATTCCCATAAATAGTGTCGCATCAGTGTGGGTCAAGCTTTTACCGCCAAGTGAGGCTGCTGCTAAGCCATGCAAGCGTGTTTAGTTTTCTGAGTTTTTGAATCTGGACCTCGGATGAGGAGCAGCAGCATCGGTCCGTGCCACGCTGAACGGAAGTGGACACCAGCTGAGAACCAGGGCTTCCAGGTAGCCCTGGTCCCATGGGGTTCAGCTGACACCTGTCCTGGGGGCGGTGGCTGGCGGGGGTGGGGGGAGGGAGTAGCCATCAGGCCCTGCTGCACCCCAGCATCCTGCAGACACGGGGCAAAACTGGGGCGAACTCCTCCAGACTCTGCCACAAGCCCGGGGCAGTTTCCACCCCCTCCCCCGCCCCAGGGAGCGTCGCCAGAGAGGGCGCCAAAGGTCCCACCTGCAGGGGGCGCTCTAAGCGGGCTTGCGTCCAGGAAGGCTGCTTGTGTTCCAACCTAGGTACCTATTAGTGCTCCTTTAGGATGAATTCCTAGAAATGCAATTGCTTGGGGAAAGGCACACACGCTTTAGACTGTAATCGATGCTACCAAAAAATGTAGACCTTCCCACCAAAGGACACTTCCTGCTGACACGGGGCAGTTTTATATTTTGCCAGTCTTAGGCAGAACGGTACATTGTCTTAATTTCCATTCCTTAAATATGAGCAAGGCTGAGTGTATAGTACGTCTGTCATGCATGTGTGCTTTCGTCCTGTCTAAGTGGATTGTCCCCGGGTCCTTACTGGTTTGTGAAGTGCTCTTTATCACTTATACTAACCCTTGACAATGGGTTGCAGAAAAACCAAAAAACAAGCAAACAAAAACAACTTACTGCATCTTTCAACTTAATTTATGGTGGTTTTGCTGAACAAACTTCTTAAAATATTTATCTTCACATTTATCAGTCATTTCTTCTATAAAGATTTTTGGGTTTGGGATCAAACTTAGGAGGAGTATCTTCACCCCGAAGGACCTTAGGATCAAAATCTTGGACTTGTTGAACTGTGGAATCTGGGAACATAGGGAAATAGAGAAATCTTGTGGTCATCATATGTTAGGGCAAAACTTCTAGGACTTTATATTTAGAAGAGACACTTCATCTGTTCATTTGATCTCTCATTCATTCATTCCAAACAATACTGATCGAGCATCGACTACGTGTCGGGCACTTTGCCAGGTGCCAGGGAGACAGCCTGGAACGGAGGTGACAGACCCTGCTCTCCCAGCACCCACACTTTCTGGCCGGGCTGCCTTCAGCTGACACTGAACATCTGTGATGTCTGAGCCTCTGCCCAGTGCCGGGGACACGGGCAGGCTCCTGGTTTCCAGCGTCTCCTTGAACACCTCCAGGGAGGGGAATCTCAAGGAGTGAGATCCCCACTCCTGGGGGCTATCAAGCAAATCAGAGGGCTGGCCCTGGAGACTCAGGGGAAGCAAAGCAAGAGAATGATGGAGTCAGGGCTCTAAGTGGCAAGGGCGGGCCAGGGCAGGTGGAGGCCTCAGCTCTAGCCCGCAGGGTGGAGGGAGGGAGCGCTCCAGCCCTGCCCACACCCCTCTGCTCACAGATGGCTGTCAAGTCGGTCCAGTTCCTGAACACAGACGTGTGGTCCAAGGCGCTGCTGTTGGCACTCACCAAGCCTGACCAGACACATCAGGAGCAGCCCCCAGAGAAGGTGGACCACACCCTGTCTCCCCACCACGCAGGCCCAGGGGCTCTGTCCATAGGATGCACACCTAAAGCAAGGCCCAGGGCCCTAGAAAGACACTGGGACCCAAAGGAAACAGGGGAACTTGGAGTTGCACCCCTGAAACTCCACCAGGGAGGGGCCTGATGATCCCAGAGCAGGGTCGTGAGGGTGGCTACAGGAGCCCAGGGAGGCTGGGGGAGCTGGTCAGGGGAGAAGGCTGGCCATCGGGGTGGACAGAAGTGGCTCAGGCCCAGGACAAGAAGCTGAACCTCCCCCAGGCTTTTCTGTTCATCTACTATGGGCTGATCCTTCAAGCTGAGGACAACAGCACCACCGTCAGGACACACGTGAGAACCCTCCTGGACACGTCCCACCAGTGGCCCAAGCAGAGGGAGGTGAGGCCCTGGCCCCCCAGCCCTGCCCAGGGCTGCCTGACCCTGACCTCAGCCTTAGCCTGATCCCTGGTTATACCCTGAGCCTTGATCAGGTCATATAAAGAAATCTGATCCTTTTCACACACTGACCCCTGAACCCGGTCACACTCTGAGCCCTGATCCCTGGTCATACCCTGAGCCCTGACCCTGGTCACCCCCTAACCCCTGAACCCGGTCACACTCTGAGCCCTGATCCTGGTCACACTCTGAGCCCTGATCCTGGCCACACTCTGGGTCCTGATCCCAATCACACACTAAGCCCTGACCCTCGTCACACTCTGAGCCCATCAAAGCTTGTGTCCTCTCCTTTGTCCCACATCTATTTTCTGGACCCTCATTTCTTCCTCTGGCCCAGGTCTGTTCAGAGCTAGTGGGGGCAGAGGGAGGTAACAGGTCTCCAGGGATTCACCCCTCCCTGCTGCCTCCCACACCATCCACCAGCCCCATAAGAGATGCCTCCCCAGGGTTGGGCTCAGAGTTGCATGTCCTAAAGAGCATGGGGATGGGAGGCAGATGCCCTGTGACCCTGGACAACTCCGTTCCCTTTCTGGGCCTCAATTCCACACCCCCAGGTGAGAGTCCAGGCCTGGTTCTGTGACCCGCATCGGTGACCCCACTCCCCTGCGCCTGTAGGGTATCGCGCTCACCATAGGGCTGGCCGCAGTGCGCCACCTGGACCACGTCTGGGCTGTCCTGGAGCAGTTTGGCCGGAGCATGCCCATTAGATGGAGCCTCCACAGCTTCTGCCTGAAGGTTCTGGCCCTTGGGTTGTTGGGGGCCTCAGCAAGGGGCTGGAACATCAGGACTCCCACCCTCCATGAAGGTCTGGGCCTCCAAGAGGGTCTCCTGGGAGAGTTAGGGGCATAGGCTTTGCAGCAAGCATCCTGGCCTCCAGTCCCACCCGCAGTGTGCCCCTCATGCCTCAGTTTCTCTTCCTGAATAACAATCCCCACCCCCAGGCCGTTGGGATGGAAACAGGCCATGGCTTTGACGAGCCTGGCAGGTACTCAGGTGACAGCTCTCTCAGGGGCTGGCTGTGGCAGTGGCTGTGTTTGTTAATGGGTCTCTGGCCACGTGCCCCGCCTGAAACGACAGACAAGAGCCTGTGCCCCTGCTGATGGACGGCCTGTCGTCCCCGGATCGTCCCCGGATCACTCCAGCGGGCAGACGCAGGACTGCACGAGGGAGCCCTCTAGGACAAGCGGGGCACAGCCGGCAAGTCAGCCCAGCAAAGGGCTGGCCGCCGCCTCGGGGGCCCACAGCCGGCAGGTGGCAGCGCAAGGACGGGGACCCACATCTCAAACCCTCAGAGCGGGCCTGGTCCCTGATGGGCAGTGGAGCCATGTGGTCCTCAGGTGGCATCTGAGGGGTGTCTTGGATGCCCCCCACCCCCACTCTCTGGGTCTCCCTCGGATCTGAAGGAGTGCCCCATTCCCATCTCTCTAGGTTGAGGCATGGCCCTGCCAGGCCCCCAGTAGCCCAGGGGGGAAGCAGGGGGGAGAAGGGCCCCAGGCTCCCGGGGCGGGGGCTACCACAAGGCAGGGAAGGTGAGGGGCTAGGACTCTGGCCAGCTCTGAGTAACCCCACAGGCCCATTCCAACCCCCCAGAGAGACAACTTCATCTTCCCTATTTTCCTACTGAGGTAAACTGAGTCTTGCCACCACTCAGGACACCGTGCCTGCAGTACCGTGCTAGGGTCCAGAGTACTTCCTGTCACCGCTCCCCCAGGGGAGGGGTCAGGAGGCCCCTGACACTCCATATCTGCCCCCACTGTGGTCAGAATTCAGAGGACCTGCAATGGAAGTGGGCCAGCAGCACCATCCTCCTCGCCTACGGTCAGATGGCGGTCAGGGCCAAGGCGCACATCCTCCCGTGGGTGGACAACATCTTGTCTCGGATGGTCTTCTATTTCCACTATAGCTCCTGGGTACGCTCCCCGGGGCCACCCCCCTGGAGCGCAGCCTCATCACACCCCAGGCCCTACCAGGACCTGGGGCAGAGAATTCTAAGACCTTCCAAGGCCTTAGAGCCCTCCTCCCCACTTCTGCCCCACTCTGGAGTCAGGAAGAGCCAGGCCTGGCCTCCCTGTTGCCCCACCTACTCACCCCATCATCCCCCCTACAGCCACAGGGCTTCCATGATGACCCCGGGCCCTCATTCTCCGCGGTTTGCACTTTGGGGCATTGGAAGGCCAGGAAACTCCCCACCCCACCCCGGGGACGACATTCCCCTTCCTCTATACTCTGTACCTGGGGCATCCACCCAAGGGAGCCACGAGGGCCAGGCAGCCCTGTGATGCCACCACCTACCCCAGATCTTTGGGCTCTGAGGTGCCACACATCAAGGGAGAAGCCAGATACTGGGCTTCTTACAACACTCTCCTGATGTTGAAATGTTGTCAACATATTCACAATTTAAACAAAACCACACAGGCTCCCCCCCACCAAAGCCCCACATATGTGGCCCCAGACGAGGTCTCTGCTGTACCCCCTCAGCAATGCCCTGAGGCACATGTGACTGTGGCTCTCTCCTGCCCTTCCTGTGCCCCCCCTGCACCCCCCTCCCACGGCCTGACCCCATCCCAGGACAAGACCCTGAAGGAGAGCTTCCTCACCGCTGTCCTCATGCTGGTGGAGGCCATCAGCCACAATGAGGGGGCCCACAGCTACGAGTTCTCCCAGATCTCTGAGCTCCTCGAGTGTCTGATGGTGAGTCAAGGCCCTGGGGCAGAGAGAGGGCCTCACGGGACCCGTAACATCCACTAGAGGCAGGTGGGGAAGTTGGATTTCTGGGGTGTGGCTAAGCCCCTCATAGGCTCTGGCAGCTGGGAGCACATCCATGCCCCCCACTTCTCTTGGCTCTTCAGTGACCCTGAGCTGGCCAGGGATGTCCACCTCACAGCTCATGTAGCTGAGGCCCAGAAAGCCAGCACCATCCGCTCTGCTAATACTCTGCCCTAGCTCAGACCACGGCTCACTAGAGATGTGGGGCTCACAGAACCCCAGGGTAGTGGAGGAAACACTCAAGTGATGGACAGTCAGAACCGTAATAATAAAATAACAATTTACTGAGCTCCTCCTGACTCAGACACCGCGCTCTGCACCCCCTGCAGGTGCAACAACACTATGTTATTTGTGAACCACAAGGCTTGGAGCGGTTTGGGGACATGCTCAAGGTCACGCAGCCAGTATGCGGGAAGCCATGACCTGGGCCCTTCTAAAGGCTGTGATCTAGTTCAGGTCACGGAGGCCCCCACAGGTTGGGGGAGAAGCTGGAGCACAATCCTGTGGGTCGCGGGAGTGCCAGGCACCGAGGTCTTCAGGCAGGACGACACGGGGTATCAGAAGTGGGGTAGGCCCAGGCTGAATGACTCAGGTTCACCTGGGGATCTGCAGGTGTTGGTGGAGAAGGAACCCCAGGACACGCTGTGCACGTCAACTCGCCAGCAGACCATTCACATCGTGTCCCGCCTCTGGTAGGCTCCCCAGCCCCACACAGGGCCTTACCCTGCTGCAGGCCCGTAACAGGCCCTCAGTAAACTGTGGTCACTGCTATTAACTCACACCTCAAAGAACAAAAATTTGTCATCATTTGTCAAAACCAAGCCGCTGAAGTTCCCAGTGGTGTAACCAGGGCTGGGGTGAGACCAGTGTGTCCAGTAAAGGGGAGCCCGGGGTACAGGGCTTGTGAAGTGACTACTCCCAAGCAGGCCACGCTGGAGTCCCGCACACGCGCTCGTGGACTCACCCGCCCAGGAGGCCCTGCAGGCCCGGGAGGCAGAAGTGTTCCCTTGAGTCTCTGGTCAAGAGCAGAACTGCGGGAGGGGCTGCAGCTCAGGGCTCGCTGACTGTCTATTCCGGCAGGTGGCCCTTTGCCGTCACCAGCCCCCACACCCCTCCCTCACTGCCCTCTATCTCCAAACAGTAAGCTGCGGCCGCCCCTGGACTTGGAGAGGAAGTCACGGATTCTGTCCGTCTGCCTCCACAGCGTGTTGGCCCTGCCACAGCTAGACGTCCTGGAGAAACACACCTGTCTCTTTCTAGAACCGCCCAACGTACAGGTGCGAAGCTGGCGCATGGTGCCCTTCAGTGAGAGGGGCCCAGCTCAGCCCGCTGCTGCTCGTGGCTTGGGAGGGGATGTGGGCTAGACAGCCAGGGCCCTTGACCCCTATGGACAGGGCAGGGAGACCCTGGGCACGTTTCTTAACCGCTCTGAGCCTCTATTTGCCCACCTGGGACATGGGGGTGATAACTGTGGAGCTGATGGTGCATGAAGCTCGGGATGAAAGTAGACACTGGTGTCCCGTGTCTGTGCAGAGGGTGCTCTGTGAACAGGAGTGTGAGTGGCCTTTGTCCCTGCCGGCCCTGAGAGCAGCCCTGGGCTCAGTCGCACCTGCGAAGCTGCTTAAACTAGTCACACCCACCCAGGCCCCAGCCGGCCCACCCTTGGCTGGGCCAGATACCAGCCCCCTCCGGGGATCTGTTAATAAAAGCCTCTGCTGCAGGGGGCACGTACCCATCTCCCCAGAGCACCACCAGCCCCTGACGCCTAAGTGTTCACTGTGAAGGGCACAGGGCTAGAGTTAACTGAGCATCTGCTGTGTGCCAGGTCCCGTGTATATGTTCGCTCACCCTCCCAGCAGCTCTCGTCCGGAGGGTGAGGAAACCAGCTCAGAGAAATGGAGCTGTCTGGTGGCAGAGTCAGGGTCGAACTCCACCCCTGCCCCTTGGGCCCTGATCTTCACACCACACCCCTAGGCTGGGTCCAGACTGGAATGGGGCAGATAAGCACTTCGGGTGAGGGGTGAGAGTGCAAAGGGTCCCTGGGCCCAGGGCAACACCACAGCAGCACCCCCCAGAAGGCTGGCGCCTGCCCCCACCCCCACCCCGCAGGAGTCCAGAGCGCCCCCATTACCAGATGACAACATCATGGCTGGCTCACCTAGGGAGCTTAGCCTGGTGCCAGACACCAGGCTGGGGCTCCTGTTCATTCCCGTTCAGTGTGCACCCCGGCAGGTGGGGCTGGCTTCACGCGCGGGTCTCAGGTGACCAAGGTAGACACAGAGAGCTGAAGCGAGGTCCCCAGGGCACCCAGGGAGTTGACGGCCAGTGCCCCGGGCTTTGCTCCAACACACTCTGACAGGGAGGTGGGCTGGGTACTTTCTATGGCCCCCTCCCTCCCTGAGCATGCCTGGGGAGCCAAGCAGCAAAGATTGGGGGTCTCACGTGAGACCCGATAGTCAGGACCAGCTGCATAATTTGCCACAACTAATGCATAATGAAAATGCCGGGCCCTTGTTCAAAGCTGATGAAGAATTTCAAGATGGGAGGGACCACAAAGCATTAAACCAAGTAGATCCTTCTGGGCACCAGGTCTTCGGCAGGCTGCAGGCCGGAGAAGGCAGCCCTGCTGGCAGTGAACTTCCCTTGGCCGCTGAGAAACCTGTGACCTTGGGCAGGTCTGACCCAGACTGCCCCCTGCCCAGTTCTGGCCTTGGGAATGTGCACGAATGGGTGCTGCTCTCACTGAGAGACCAGGGCACTCAGACCCTGCGACAGACCTTGGCACTCCGTCGCAGCTGGGACTCGGCGGCTGCCTGACCTGCTCCGCATCCCTGCACAGACCCTCTACAACAAGACCTCGGAGGCCCTGGACCAGATGCTGCAGAGCTTCATCATACAGAACCCCACGGCCGACGAGCTGCACTTCTTGCTGTCGGTGAGAGCCAGCTGCCCCACAGTGCGGGGGTGGGGGAGGCCCAGGAGGGCGGACGATGGACAAAGGAAGATGGCCCAGAGGAGGCAGGGCCTGAACTTGGGGTGGGGAGTGGTCCAGGAACACAGAGGCTTGAGGGCTGTCCATCTTCAGGGATTGCAGTGGCTTGGGACAACTGGAGGGTGGTATAGCAGGTGTGCATGGTGGTAAGTGGGCCCTGAGCGCCACACTTCAAGGAAACGGATGAGGACACAGGCCCTGACCCTGGCTGGGACCTGCCCTCCCTCCCAGAGAACTCACTCTGCAGCCATGTCTCCAGCTGTGAGGAGGGGCTCACAACCCGACACCCGCACTCTCTCACTGCCCTCCAGGGCTCTCACCTTGATAGGAGGCAGACCAGTCAACAGGCAGGGACAGTCCAGGGGCAGGGGAGGAACCAGAGAGGGGACACTGGCTCTGCTGGGAGGGTCGGAGGTCAGGGCCAGTGGAGGTCACTCGATGGAGAAAGGAAGGGAAGGGCAGAGCGGGCAGAGGGTGTGGCAGGGTCAAAGGTGAGACGCCTGGTGAGCACAGGGGCCAGAATGGAGAGAGCTCTGTGCGGCCAGAGCATGGGGAGGGTGCTAAGGTGGGGGCCAGGGGGGATAGGGTTGGGTCAGGTCAGCAGGACCAGACCCTGTCCAGCCTAGAGGCCTTGTGGGGGTGAGGGGGGCCGCTGAAGCAGGTGCACCGATGGAAGTCGAGGTGTGAGCCTGGCTGGGGGGAGATACCTGCATTTTCACTCACTCATTCCCACTGGGAATGTTGGTGACAAACCACAGCAGGGCCGGGGGTGGCTGCGTCTGCCACCAGCGGAAGTCACAGATGTGGTCATAGGACATTGCTGGGCCCCAGAATCTGCAAATACCGTTTACTGCTTCCGCCTTCAGAATCACTAAATGTAATCATCTATCGCTTTAACGAAGAGGCTCGAGTTGGGCTTAAAACTGTTCAATATAACTGTTTCAGTATGTGTTGGTATCCCTTTGTAATTTCGTGCGTTTATGTTGTGCACAGAAAAGCACTACTTTGAAAAGGGGTGCATGGCGCCAAGGGGGTTAAAAGCCAGGAGCCTCGAAGGGCTTTGAGCAGGGAATCCCTCCTCCTCCTCCAGAGCCGGGTTGCCAGGAGCACAGGATCAGCCCAGGCAGTGCAAAGGGACGCGGAGGGCAGGACAGGGGGCGTGGTGGACGCCCAGGGGGTGGGGCCTGAGTCGACGGTGGGCGGAGCCTGAGCTGGGGCTCCCGTCTGGCGCCGCGGAGACCAGAAGACCGCTCCCACCACCTCTCAGGAGATGGCAAGGCGGAGCCTTGATTGCCCGCGGACCGGCCACGGGGGCGGGGCCTGAGCCAAGCCCGGCGCGCGGCGCGGACGTCCGGGTGGCCCAGGGGAACTGGCCCGAGCAGGGGTGCGCGGCTGCAGCACCCCCTCCCCGCCCCTGCCCACCCGCAGCACCTGTACCTCTGGCTGGCGTCGGAGAAGGCACACGAGCGGCAGCGGGCTGTGCACAGCTGCATGGCCCTTCTCAGGTTCCTGAGCCACAACCCCTACCTGGATGTGAGTATCCAGCCCTCTGGCCCCACACCCCCTCTGCTGCCCCAGCCAAGCCGTCCTCCTCCTGGAGCCTGACAGGCTCGTGGGGCTCAAGGCCCCCTGGACCTCTGCCCCCAGGACGGGTGGATCCCTGAGTGCCCTACAACACGGCCATGTAATCCCCCTTTTTACACGCAAGGGAACAGGCTGGGGGCGGAGGTTGGGGCCCCCTGCTCAAGTCCTCCCCGCTGGGCTCTGAACCCAGATGCATGGACCCCTGACCCAGGAGGCTGGGCTCCTGTCAACGCTCCTTGAAGCTTTGGGCAGGTTCTTCCACGCCCTGAGCCTCAGTTTCTCGCCCATGAAAAGGGAGGAAATGAGTCCTCCTCAGAGGGATACACTGGGAATCAGATGAGGTGCTACCTGCCCCAGTCCAGGGTCAGCGGTGACCGCAGGAACACCTCCATCCATCACGACCCTGCATGCGTCCTGACCCCCAGCGTGTCAGGCTTCGCAGCCTAACTGCCGTCTGTCGCTATAACCCTTGGGTTGAGTGAATGTCAGCACGTTCAGGGAGTGAGCGCTTCTGCATTTATCCACCAAAATCAGCACTCATTCCTTGGGGAGACTTACGGGGCCATGAGAAAATTGGCTTCTCTGCCTGATGCCCGGCAGGTGCAAGCCTTTCTAAGGGAGGCGGACAGGCAGGGGTGGTGCTCTGCCAAGGGAGAGCTCCCTGCACAGACTCCTCCGGCATTCCCAGGGCGAGGAAGACCCCTCTAGAGGGGCTCAAAGGGCCTGCAATTTACTCAAAATCAATTTCCACAATACAGGACCAGGCTTGCCATCAGGCAGTGAGGCATTCACCTGGGGCGCAAAATTTACCAGGCTCCAGAACATTCCGCAGTCAAGATAAATACTGTAATGTAATGTTTTAAAACAATCCACTCAGCAAATGGTCACCGGCCGGCTGCCTATTGTTGTAAATAAAGTTTTACTGAAACCACGACTAGGGTCAGGGCCCGGGGAGTGAGGCAAGATGAGGTAAGGTCATGGAAGTGCAGGGACGGACCATCTTTATTTACAGTTTTGAAACTGTGTTCATCAGGAATTGTTACCTTCAGTTTGATTTTTCTAAATACTGCGTTAAAATATAATTTCTCTTGATTATTGAGTCTTGGGCAACCCCTCATGTTTTGCCCAGTGTGCCCTGGGATGCTGACTGTAGTGTCGGGCAGGGTGGGCAGAGCCTGGGCCTGGGGTCCTGAGAGCTGAGTCGCAGCCCTGCCACAGAGTCGGAGGATTTCTGATGCGGCCTTGCTGCTGTGATTGCACAGCAGGCCAGAGATTTGCGGTGGGGTCACTGGTTCCCATATTCTCACCACAGCCAAAAGAGGACTTCAGGCGGATTGGGCAGCTGGTGGGCATGCTGGGGATTTTGTGCCAGGACCCGGACAGGGCCACCCAGCAGTCCAGCCTGGAAGGGGTAGGCCACCTCTACCAGCTCCTGATACGCCAGAGAGGTGAGCCCCCGAGGGCCACCACAGCAGGCCCACTGCCACCCCAACCACAGCCTCAGCTGAAACCACGCCCACATCCCCGAACGCACCCCACCCCAGATCTTCCCTTAAACCCACCTCTAACCCCAGCCACAGCCCTGTAATGTCCCCCTGCCCCAGACCCCCTCAGACTCCCGTCCCCAGATGGGCATAGGCCTGACCCTGACTACCAATGACCCTGCCCTGACTCTTGCCTGTCCCATCCTAGACCCCAAGCCCACTTTTGCCCTGCCCTCACCCTTACCCACTCCCACCCCTGGCCAGCGAGGAAAACTCCAAAGGTGGAGGTGCAGGCCCCCGAGCAGCTTTCCCAGGCCAACGTGGATGGGGCTCCCGTCTGGAGCAGTGGAGACCAGAAGACAGCTCCCACCACCTCTCAGGAGATGGCATTCCCGAAGGATGGCATCCTCCAGCTTGGCAGCTCCCAAGTCATCAAGGTCAAAGCCCTTAGAACGGAGGGCAGGTCCGGGTGGGGAGGCATGGCCATGCTCTGCTCTGACCCCCACCGCCATCCCCGCTGACAGGGCTTCCAGCTGTCGGTGTGGCCTGGCTGGACCCAGGGGGTCAGAGCCTGGGCCAGGTGTGAGTATTAAGGCCAAGGCTGGGATTTCACCTGTTTGGTAATTAACTGAGAATGTTTGGAGAAATCCCTGGCCCTTGGCATGGGACTGAGATGTTGGAGGAAGGGAAACTGTAGGGAGGGGCCAGGGACAGACCCTGAGGTCAGCAGCCTAGACTTGAGTCCCAGCTCTGTCCCTCCTGGCTGTGTGACCTAGACAAGCCCCTTCTCCTCTCTGAGCCTCTGTCTTCCTCTGTAAAATGGGTAGAGTGGTGCTGTGAAGTCCTGGCCAGCATGAGCACCCAGTAAATGGTGCTTTCAGGATGCTCCCATGGTAGGTGTTCTCTGAGGCACCATACGACGTCCTGGCCTTTGAGTCTGCTTTTTTGCAGGATGAGCACTCTGCAGAAATATCCCCACATGCCTCATTTTCCCAGGGGCTTCTCTTATCCTCTGAAAGCCAGACCCTCCTCCTGTGAAGGCAGAGCTTGTCTTCTCTTGCACTGTCATCTGGCTGACCTCAGGCAGCTCCTCCTTGGTCAGCCGCCTGGGGGAGCCCAGCAGTCCCCAATGTCCCTTCTGTCACCCCAGTGAGATCCTGTAACTTTGTGACATTCTGTGTTTTCTTTTTTTTTTTTAAGATTTTATTTATTTATTCATGAGAGACAGAGAGAGAGAGGCAGAGGGAGAAGCAGGCTCCCAAGGAGCAGAGAGCCCGATGCGGGACTCGATCCCAGGACCCTGGGATCATGACCTGAGCTGAAGGCAGACGCTTAACCATCTGAGCCACCCAGGCGCCCCATTCTGTGTTTTCTTGTGTTGACTTGTGTTCTCTTCTGAACATGAATGAGTCTGGGGTGCAGAGTGTAGGCTGGATGCTGGTGTTGGCAGGACAAGCCATGTTTCATGGAGCCTCATGTTCTGAGTGGTCAGTTCATGATGTCTCTGACATGGTGACTTTGTTGCCCAGTCTTGGTGTTGAGCGCATGGCTAATGAAGACCCCTGTACATGGTATGCTTGTCAGTGTCCCACTGTTAGACTTTGAGCCCTCCGGGCCAGAAGCAGGGTCCTGCCAGGGCCCCGTGCAGGGCCTGGTGGTAGAGCCACCCATTAAGTTAAACCAGACTGAACCAAATGAGGAAGCAGTGGTTGCACACGGCTAGTGAGTGCCCCAGCAAGTTCTGAATCCAGTCCCGGCTGACTCCAATGTTCTCTGCACTGTGTTCTCTGCAAGTGCACTGGGCTCTCAGTGCTGCAGTCAATTAGGGGTTAAGTATGGACAGTCTAAAGCCCAGGGGCCAATACATCAAGTCTCCAGTCCCAGAATGGGTAAGCCTAGTTTATGCCAAAGAACCTGGGCAGGGAGCAGAGGTGGGGCAGGGCAGGAGGGTTCCCTGGCTAGCAGCTCAGAGGGAGCCAGTGGTGAAGGGGCCCCAGGGCTTTAGATTTTCCATACTAAACACTTAGGCTTCTCAGTCTTGAGAAGCCTTCTGTATCCTGCCCTGTCCCGGCACACAGGGAGTGGGTGTTCAGCTCTGGCTCTCTCTCCTTAGGCAAGACACAGTGACGGACAGGAGCAGAGAGGAGAGAGGATGGGAGGGTCTGCTGATCAAGTGATGGTGGATTGGGAAGGTTTGGAATGGAGACCTGACCTGGATTCTGTCCCCAACTCTGTCCTTGATGCCTTCTGTGATCTTGGCTACACTACACCTTCATCACCATCATCACCATCATCACCTCCACCACCATCATTATTGCCATCACTGCCATCACCTCCACCACCATCACCATCATCCCCACCATCCCATCATCACCATCACTCCCATCATCACCACCAGAGATCACCATCACTGCCATCATCACCATTATCAACCACCACCACCATCATCACCGCCATCACCATCATCATCATCACCACTATCATCACCATTAGCAACCACCACCACCACCATCACTATCATCACCACCATCATCATAACCATCATCATCACCATCACCATCATCATCACCACCGTCACCACCATCACCTCCACCATCATCATCACCATTACCACCACCACCATCATCACCATCATCATCACCACCATCACCACTATCACCATCATCATCACCATCACCACCACCATCATCATCATCATCACCACCATCACCATCATCACTGCCATCACCTCCACCATCACCATCATCACCATCACACCACCACCATCACCATCACCACCACCACCATCACCATCACCATCATCACCACCATCATCACCATCATCATCATCACCATCATCACCGCCATCACCTCCACCACCATCACCATCACCACCACCACCATCATCACCATCGTCATCATCATCACCACCATCACCATCATCACCACAATCACCTCCACCACCATCACCATCATCACCACCATCATCACCATCATTATCATCACCACCATCACCATCATCACCGCCATCACCTCCACCACCACCACCACCACCATCTCTACCATTACTGCCACCTCCATTTCACATTTATTCATGCCCTGGGTTAAAGTAAGACATCTCCCAGGTATTTACCAATCTTGAGATTGCAGTATTCTGGGATTTTGAGAATCTAACCACCATTCCAAGTTACATTTCTTCACAAACATTCTCAATGCTAGACCTTTAACCAAAATTCAACATTTCAGAAAACAATTTTAAATGTAATCTTCTAACAAATGTTCTAACCAGATTTATAGCAGCTTAATATTCTTTTCTTAAAGTTGTGAACTACAAATATTCCTCTAAAATCACTTTGAATACTCTAAATAACAACTAATCCTAATATTCTCACAAACATTTTACCAAAATTTTAGAATAATTATTCTAATAAATATTCAAACATTATTTAATACTTATTTTTATATCTAATATAGGTAGACTAACAGACTGTCAAATATTTCAACAAATATCCTAACATGCAAAGAAACGTGTTACCCCCCCTAATGTCCTTGCAGACCTTATACTTTTCTATCAGGTGCCCCATCACCAGCCTTCTGTCTTCCTCTGATTATCAGATGCTCCGAGTCAGAGCCTCCCAATAGAACTTTCTGGGAGGATGGAAATGTCTCTATCTGAACTACCAAGGGAGCCACTGGCTATATGTGGCTACTGGGCACTTGTAATGTGTCTAGTGCTCCTGAGGAACTGAGGTTTTAAATTCTACTTAATTAAGTTTACGTACAAATAGCTACGTGTGGCTGGTGGCTACCATAGTGGGCAACAATGCTCTAAGTCTTTCCAGAAGGTTCTACCTGGGCAGCCCCAGGCTGGCCCAGCCCTCCCTCTCAGAGACTGTGGTCAGTGGCTATGGAGCAGGGGTCCCACCCACCATGTTGCATTTCCCCAAGCCCCTCTTCATTCCCCCCGAGTGGCTCATGATCTGGACCTAGAACTGCTCCTGGGAGAACGTGGGCAGAAAGCAGTTGGGCTTTTGAGGAAGCCCTACCATGGGACATGAGCCCTGGGCTCTCGACCCAGCCTCTGCCGTGGTGAGGGTGCCCATGCCCCTCTCTGGGTCTGGGGATTGGTCCAGGTGACCTTGAAGACCCTTCACAGCTCTGAAGCTCTTGATTAAAATGCTATAAGGAGGACTAGGGCCTGGCATGGGGAGCACCCAGCTGGGCAGAGGCTAACACATGGGGAAGCCCATGAGGTGAGGACAGGGCAGAGGAGAGGAGGAAAGGAGGCTGGCTGGGCCAGGCAGGTCCCAGGACAAACACTGGGGTCTGAGTGAGGAAGGGAGCCGGGCCTCTGCCCCACGATGGGCATCACGCTCTCCCTTCCTGAACCTGGGCCGTGGTTGGCTCAGAGAGATGCGCAGGCAGCCAACCTGCAAAATGGGCTACACGTGTGGGGTTCCGGAGGAGAGGAGCTCAGACGTCTGGACATGCTCGGAGACCTGGGCAGCCTGAAGCCAAGGAGAAGGGAAGAGAGCTGGCAGGAGGCGGGCACCTGGGTACAAGTGGCCCACAGTGACAGCTGCCCCCTCTCCTGCTGCTACAGGAGGTCATGAAGCATCTCACGATGGTAGAGCTGACCGACGTCATCTGGACAACCATTGACGGCCTGGGCTCCACCAGCCCCTTCCGCGTTCAGGCAGCCGCCGACATGCTGCTCATCACCATCAAGGAGCATGGGTCCAGCCTGGAGACTGTGAGGGGCTGGGGCACCCGCTGAGGGTGGGCCAGGACAGGTCTGGGGGCAGAGGGACAGACGCCCGGCAGTCAGCACCCTGGGGCTTGGGCCTGACGCAGGACACACAGACCCCACCCTGACAGGTTCCACGGAATGAATGAAAGGCCCAAGCAGGTGTCCTGGGGTCCCGAGTGGTGTTTGCAGCGTCATGGGGCACATGGGCATGGATGGCACCGCTGTTCCAGGCTCTGGGGTAGGACAAAGGGCAGGAGAAGGCACAGACCCTCCTGGAAGTTCTCAGTCTGGCGGAAGGGACAGACACAGATTAGGACTGGACAGCATAGGAGATGCAAAGGCAACGAAGTGCCCCCAGTGGGGTGGGGGTGCCCCCCAGAAACAGGATGATGGATGCCAAGTCCTGCAGGTAAGGAAGCCCCAGGTGGGCGACACTGGGCCTGGGCAGTGACCGGAAGTGGTTGGGGAGAGGCCTTCCAGGCCCCCAGGACAGCCTGTGCCAAAGTGGTGTGCTCGGGAGACGTGAGGTGGGTGTGTCTGAGCCTTCCAGGGACCGGGCAGTGTCTGGACGCAGGCTGAGGGCCTCCCATGCCACACGGAAAGTGGTGGGGCCTCTCTCCCCTCAGCCTGGGACTCCAGGGTGGAGAAGTGCCTCCCTCAGACTTCGCTGGGCGGGGCCTGGCCTCCCCTCTCAGACCAGCCCTCTCCCCCCTAATTCTGCCTCCCTACACAGGTGGCCAACCTGGGCCGGGCCATCCACTTGCAGCTCTGCTCTGTCCGCATCCCCCAAGCCAAAGAAAATGCTCTGCACGCCATCACCCTGCTAGCCCGGAACCACACACAGGAGTTGGTGGCCACCTTCCTGGACTTCTCCATACCCCTGGACAGGTGCCCGGCCCCACCCTCCCTCACTGCCCCCACTGCCCACCCTCCAGCCTCCCCCAGGCAGGGGGTGGGGCCCCCACCTCCAGCTCTGCCCTCCTGCCTGCCCCCTCCCAGCCCACAGGGAGCCCCACAGGTCTGGGCCCAGGGAGGGAGCCCACGTCCCCGTTCATTTATTGCACATCTCCTGAGGCAGGCTCTGGGGAGGCACGGCTCACCATTCATTCTACCCCCACCCCAGCCTCAATCACCTGTCACCTCATGGGGAAAGTGCCCAGGACCTGGGGTGCGCCTGGCAAGACCCCAGCCAACATCAAAGTCTTGCCATCCTTCCTGATCCTCCAAGGACCTCTCCTTCCTCCCCCGCCCCCAGTGGTCACCACACTCCTCTCAGGTGGGGCTGGCTTTCTCATGAAACCCTCAGACCCCCGAGTCCGGAGCTGGGCTAGGGTCCTCTGCCTCCCCCAGATCTCAGCTCTGAACCCCAGGTGCTCCATCTATAACCCCAGCTACATATCCACCATGCATCTGCACTGCGTCATCCCTAGGTCCTTACAGATGTCGCTCCCAATCACAGACACCGTCTCACTCACACCCGCTGTCTGAATCTTGGGGTTTTCCTTCAGCCCCACTTCTCAATGCCTGGATCTCCTCTCTCCCAGCAATCCTGTCCTCCATCCTGCCTCAGCCGCCCACTCCCACGGTCATCCTCTTGGCTCGGACACCTCCAATCTGGAGCATTTCTCTCCACCCTCCCCACCACCCCTCACAGCTTACCTCCGCCGGTACCCCCGTGAGGGTACCTGCCCTCCACAGCCTCCAGTCCACCAGCCACTCACCTTCTCAGCACCCCTCACCCATCCTCACCCCCTCCTTACCAGCATTAGTTACTCCCTGGACATACCCAAGCCCCTTATCCCCTCTGTCACACTCAGCCGGCAAAACCTCCCTCAGTTAAAGCTCCCCATTTTGAATTCCCAGCCACACACCTCTCTGCCTCCACCCTGCCCCTTCCCTCTGCCGCCAACCTTCCTCCCATCCCACTGAGAAATCAGAAGCTCCCAGAAGAGAACTCCCACAAGCTCCCGGCCCCCGAGACTCATTTCCAGAAAGATTTCTGATTTCCATGTGCAAGGGTCCTTGTGTTTCTATAATTTCCAGTTTTTTTGCATTGGGATCAGAGAATGCCATTGTAACGTTTCTGCCTTATTGGGATTTGCTGCCCTTTTGAACAACTGTCGTGAATGTTCTACGGGCACTTGGGAAGAGGGTGTATCTTCTTCATCAGGTGGTGTTGTATGTATATCCACGGATGCGCCTGATGGACTGTGGTCGTCACTGATTTCACTGATGTCCCCTCTGTTCTGTCTCGTACTGAGAACGGCACGTTGAAGTCATTACTAACGCGTTTCTGTCCACGGACCCTTCCGTGTCCTGCAGTTTTTACGTCATACGTGATTGTCATGTTTTTTGTGCAAACATATACCTTCCTTAGGAATCACTATCCCATAGTTGTGTGCATGTTTCGTGGACTCTATTACTTCCCTTTTCTACGGGTTGTGTATTCTTTGATCCTTAATGTTTTTAATTAAAGAAGAAGTGTATTTTTGCAGTGGTTGTCATGCTAATGCTCCTGGCCTCTTTTAATGTCCTCCGTCCCTTGTTTTGTTGTTGAAGCTTTCGATGTGCATCCTCTGCCGGAGGCTTCTAGTCCTCTCTGCGCTGACCAGACCCACCTCTGACAGACGGCTCCTGAGGGGCTCCTGTGTGCTTGAAGGACAACTTGGCTGGACATAAAATCCTTGGTTCACACTTGCTTTTATTGAGTATTTTTCAAATGCTGCTCAATTGTCGCCTTGCTTTGTTATTGAAAAGTCTAATGATGGTGATTTATTTTTATGCCTTTGTCAAGATGTTTGCCTTTGTAAGAGGTCCTTCTTCCCGGATGCCTTGGACGGTGTTTGCTCACCTTTGAAATTGAACAGTTTTATTAAGAGATGTCTCAGAGTTGATCATTCTGTGTTCATTCTCCCAGGGACCTGGTAGATCCTTTGAAGATGTAGATGTAGGCCTTCTGTTGTTGTTTCTGGAAAGTTCTCTGGTGATAGCTTGAAACATTCGTTCTGTTCCCCTGCTGCACTTGTCCTTCTGAACTGCTAGGAATTCCAGTGCTGTTCCTGCCCGTCCTCAACCTCCAGTACTTTCTGATCCTTTTCACGCCTTTTGTGGTTGGGTTTCTGCTTTTCCTCAATGCCCCTTAGCTTACATCTTATCATCCCTCTTGGGCACCTTGCATTTTTTTCCACTTCTGAGATAAGTTTGTCCTTTCTTCCACCTCTTTCCTGAACTCAGTCAACCCTCTTTTCCTTTCTTTATGGAGGTTTTTTTTTTTTTATTTTTTGAAGTTATAATTCAAGGTGGCTTTACCTGTCTCTGGGAGCTCACTGGAGTCTGAGGAGCATCGTCCGGAGTGCTCTCGGCACAGTGACTGCTTTGGAGGGGAGCAGTTCCTCTTTGGTTGTGCACGGATTATTTTTTCTGTTTTGTTTTTTGGGGGGTGTTTTTGCAATAACTCAGTGGATCTGTTAATTTTGTTCCTGTTCCTATCAAACGCTGTTGGCATGTTTTATAGGATTTCAAGTTCAATGGCACCCTCTTCTGTTAGTAGAGCGAAGTCCAGAGGATTTAGTAGATTCTTTTTCTTGGTGGCAGGTGAAAAGGTCGTGTGTCCTCCAGTTGGGGGGTTGTTTTTTGGGGGGTTTTGGTTCTTTTTTCTCTCGCAGGGCCTTCCATTTTCCTCTTTCCCATTGTCCCTGTCACCACCCAATCCCCAAGGCCCCTGGTTCTTTTTCCCCTGTTTCTCTCCCCAGAGCTGTGCATCTTGGAGGCCGCCCTTCTGATTGGACCAGCTCATCAGCCCCTTTCTCGTGGTCAGTGCTCTTTTTTTCTCCTTTTTCCCTCTTGTCGGACTGGGGATGGACTTCATCTTCCTGGAGGTGAGTGGTTCGACTCTGAGCCCTGTTTCTGGCTCCCGTGCCCTGTGCCTTGCTGTCTCTTCTGCCTCATCTGTCCCAGAGCCCCGGGTGGGTGGCGACGGGCGTTTCTCTTGTTTGTTTACAGTGATGTCGAAGTTTGGGCATCCTCTGAGGTCACAGTCTCTGTGCAATTTTATTTTTCCCTCCCTCTTGCTCTGTGTGGTTTTTCAAGGAACCTTGAAGGGTGAGGACCCTGGAGGCCACCTTGTCTTCAGCTGCCCGGAAGTCTGTAGCTCACCTCGGTCTGCATTGCCGTTTATACCTTATTTCCTCCATCCTAAGAAGCACATTTTTCCTAGGTGGGAATGCATTTTACATCGAGGGTACCTTACCCCTGGATTTATGTGGGCTTCTCAGTCACCCAGGGACACTGTTGGCCTGGGACCATGCCAGATTTAAAAGTCTGTGCCTGAGGGTTTCTTTGAGCCACACTGGTGGTGTGAATTCAGACCCCAAAACAGGTTTTGTGATTCGGACTCTCGGGAGAAGGCCCTCCTTCCATCTAGTGCTCCGACTGAGGCCGGCAGGGTTCCTGGCTTTTTCTTTCTGCAGGTGGGTGGGTTGGTTCTTATCGTCCTTACACGGAACACAGGGCCCTTGGGGTCCCACCTCTGTGATGGGGGTAGCTTCCCACCTGGGATAAGTTTTATTTCTTAGAAGCACCTAAAACAATGCGACATGCCCTAACACTGTGAACAGAATTGGGTAGCAGGTACCCTGCCGATAATCTTTTATGTTATGTGGCTTTTTCCCCTCAACAATATGTGTTTACGATTCATTCCAATATGTTACATATAGCTGGAGTTCATTCCTTCTTGTTGCCGTTTAGTATCTCGTGAATGCCGATCATCCTTTCTGCCACAGACGCACATTTGGGTTGTCCCCGGCCTGGGTCTGTGACTAACGCGCCCTGACATGCTCCCACACGTCTTCATGCGCATCAGCGCTCCGTCTCCACCGCGGTGTGTTCAGCACACAAACATCGGCGCCATAAAGCTCTGCACATACCCAACTTTTTTTTTTTACTTTATTTTTTTATTTTTTTATTCTTATGTTAATCCCTATACATTACATCATTAGTTTTATTTTTTTTTTTTTGCCATCATTAGTTTTAGATGAAGTGTTCCATGATTCATTGTTTGTGCATAACACCCAGTGCTCCATGCAGAACGTGCCCTCCTCAATACCCACCACCAGGCTAACCCATCCTCCCACCCCCCTCCCCTCTAGAACCCTCAGTTTGTTTTTCAGAGTCCATCGTCTCTCATGGTTCGTCCACCCCTCCAATTTCCCCCGCTTCATTCTTCCCCTCCCGCTACCTTCCTCTTCTTTTTTTTTTTTCTTAACATATATTGCATTATTTGTTTCAGAGGTAGAGATCAGAGATTCAACAGTCTTGCACAATTCACACTGCTCACCATAGCACATACCCTCCCCAGTGTCTATCACCCAGTCACCCCATCCCTCCTACCCTACCCCCCACTCCAGCAACCCTCAGTTTGTTTCCTGCGATTAAAAATTCCTCATATCAGTGAGGTCACATGATACATGTCTTTCTCTGTTTGACTTATTTCGCTCAGCATAACACCCTCCAGTTCCATCCACATCATTGCAAATGGCAAGATCTCATTCCTTTTGATGGCTGCATAATATTCCGTTGTATATATATACCACCTGTTCTTTATCCATTCATCTGTCGATGGACATCTTGGCCCTTTCCACAGTTGGGCTATTGTGGACATTGCTGCTATAAACATCAGGGTGCACGTACCCTTTCGGATCCCTACTTTTGTATCTTTGGGGTAAATACCCAGTATGCACGTACCCAACTTTAACAGACACATTGAATCGTTTTCCAAAGTGCTCATGTCACCTCACACTCCCACCGGGGATATTTTTGAGAGCTTCTGTTGCTCCACGTTTCATCCGCACTTGGCCCCGACTTTCTAGCCACTCATCAAAATGTTAGCAACCCAGTGGTATGGGTCGCATTGCGACATTCATTTGCACGTTCCTAATGAAATAATGGAGCGGAACATTTGGCCATCAGAACATTGGAGTATCTTCCTTGGTGATCTCTTCGTCAAGGATCAGATCCATCCTTCCACTGGGTTGTCCCCCTTTTTCTTATCCATTCCCAGGAATCCTTTATGTAACCTGGACACAAGGCCTTTGTTGATGGTGTGAAAAGCATCTCCTTGCACTCTGCAGCTTGTCTTTTCGCTGCCTGAATGTGCGTTTTGATGAAAAGGAGTTCCAGGTTCAGTCCTTCCCACACATGATCTTACAAAAGTTCCGGCGATTGCCTTTCAAGCTCAGGTCTCCAGCCGTCCCATGAAGTCGGACTCCAGTTCTGTGTAGCCACCAGCATCCTTCAGGGACAAGCCCGCTCCATGCCTACAGCTCGCAGTGCTACCTGCCTCCCAGCCAAGTGCCCGTGGGCAGGGGTCTGTGTCTGGGTTCAGCAGTGCTCCGCTCGCCAGTCCCCGTGCTGACACCCACAGTCCTAATTCCTGTAGCATCATACACGTTCTCTGCACCTGATACAGAACGGCCTCCCGGCTCCTCCTGCCTCAACACCTGCCCCGCTGCTCTGGGCCCTTCGCATTTTGCATTTCTAAATGGTCTTACACTTGGCTTGCCAAGTTTTCTTTCTTTTTCTCCCGTGTTTCTCTTTTACCTGTTGATGGCGACTTTGTTGGGTCAGCCCTCAGCTGCACACCCCTGGCGGGTCACGCTGTCCATCATCACTGTATGCGTGGCCTGCCTGCCTTTGATTCTTACAGCACTGGCTCCTTTTAGTCGATGAATACACGCCGGCGAGGCCTCCGCCCGCAGAAAGCTGGGATCTCGGTCGTGACCTTATGGACAGGGCTGAGCACCCCCAGTCTCCAGCCGCCGGCTCACCCCCCACCAAGGCTCATCACCCTCTTCATTTCTTTTTCACTTCATTGCAGTTAAACATATTCCTGAAAATATTCTCTTGTGGTTTTTGCAATTGTATTGAAGAGTATGGTGTTGTGTGTCGTCTTTGGAGACTTCTTTCCTCTGGCCCGATATTAACACAGATTTTCAGATGCGGGTTGTCTGTCGTAACATAAATCCAGCAGCACCGGGTTTTCTTTCCTTAATCATGTGTCACGTGTCTCTTCCCAGCCCTTTTTTCTTAATTAATAGTCGTTCTTTTTTGGAGCAGTTTTATGTTTATAGAAGTAAGTCCCCACCGGTGTCGTCCTCTGCTAGCACCCTGCGTGGGGCGGTGTGTTTGCTCCAGCCCGAGGGCGGTACTGACGCATCATCATTAACGGAAGCCCACGGCTGGACAGGGCTCGCCCCTGGTGCTGTGCGTCCTGTGGGCTTGGACAGTGTGCAGTGTGTCCACCACTCGCACGTCCTACAGAGTAGCGTCACTGCCGGAACAACCTTCGGTCCCCCCGGACCCTCGCAACCACCGATCTTCTACTGTCTCCGTGGTTTTGCCTTTTCCAGAAGGTCATGGATTTGGAACTGTACAGCGTGGAGCCTTTCGGACGGGCTTCTAGTCCTCAGCAATATGCATTTCAGGTTCCTCCATGTCTTTTCCTGGCTCTCCTCCCACCTCCCAGCTGCCCCTGCTCCGCCTCCTGCCAGTCCCTCCTGTCCCCCCGTCTCTCAGCACGGGGCCACGGGGCTCGGTGCCACGGGGCTCAGTCCCCAGAGCTCCCCTCACTCACACTCCCCTTCCTGGTGGCCGCCTCTAACCCTGTGGGCTAAATATATCACCTATACAGACACCCCCCGAAAGTTCACCCCTGCCAGACGGCAGCACGTGGGTGTCCAGGAGGCATTCCACGCTGGACACTCCCGGACCACGCCGCTGGCCGTCCCCGAAACCTGTCCTCTTGCGGGCTTCCCCATGCTGATGTCATCTGCCCAGCTTCTCGAACCAGAGTTCCTGGGGCCACCTGGACTGTCCTGTCCACACCCAGGCCCATCCTCAAGGGGTCCTGCAGCTCTACCCACGCCCCTCCCCCACCCCCTCCAGCCCGTCAGGACGTCGCCGGCTCACACAGAGTCCCTGGCCGTGTCCACCCCTCCCTCCCAGCAGCCGGAGTGAGGCTTTAGAGAGAAGTCGGACCACGTCTCTCCCTCGCTGCAGACCCTCAGCGGCCCCACCTCATCAAAGTCAAGGCAAAACCTTCCCAGTAGCCAACAAGGTCGTGTGGCCTGGCCCCACGCACCGGCTGTCCTCCTCGCCCAGCCCCATTCTCTTCACCCCGACCTCACTGGCCCTTCTTGCTGGCCCTGAGAACACCAAGATCGGCTCCGTGTCAAGGCCAGAAGGTTCTCCTCCCCCCACCCCCCAGAGCAGCGTGACTCCCCACTTACCTCCGCAGATCTTTGCTTGTGTCCCTTTTTGGTGAAGGCTTCCCAGCTGTCCCACTAAAAACTGACCACAGCCTAGATGCACCCTCCCACCGTCCCCCTCCTATCCTCCATCCCCTCCCCTCCCCTCCCCTGCTTTATGCACTTAGTCCGACACACCCTTGTTTGCTGGCTGAGTTGAACTTTAGGGGTCACTCCCACACAGGCAAGGACTTTACTGGTTCTGTCACTGCTCTGTCCCCGAGTTGGTTGCCCGCATGTGACAGGGGGCAAAACACCCACATGCCAACAGAGCAAAAGAGAAATCCAGGCCCCTGGGCGCCCTCGCTCCTGCAGAAGCATGTCACCTAAGCCTCTCGAGTCAGGCTCTGCCCCCAGAGACCTGCCCATGGTCACACAGCCGTGATGACACAGCAGGGACTCGGCCAGGGTCCTTCTGACAACAGAGGCCCCGCTCTACAATCTCAGAGTCCTCGGAACTGCTGTGCCCACCCAGCCCAGGGTCTGTCCTAAAGCTGGGGTGGGGGCTTATCCAGGCCCCCACTGTGGCCTCCCAGGTGGCCTCCCAGTCCCCACCCCTGCCCCTCCAGCCCCACCCACCCACTCGGCACCAAAGACCACAGAAAACAGAGAGCCATCAGGGTCACCGACATCTCAGGAGCCCCAAAGCCCACACCTCCCCAGGACTCACAGGTCCGTGTCCGTGGACCAAATGGAAAGACCACAGGACTGGGCAGACCTGGCCTCTAGCCCCAGTTCCCCAGTCACAGGCAGGGCCCGATCAGTCCTCAGTTTCCCCATCTGCAAAATGAGCACAAGGACATTGTAAAGCTCTGTGTATACTGCTGATGGACCCACTTACCCAGGGTGGGCCCGAGAGCTGGACCCCAGCAAACCCAGGCTAGGAGGAGGCAGCCAGGGCAGGCCTCCAGGCAGAGGTGCTGACAGCTGAGTGGGTGCAGGCCCGGTGGGGAGGCGTGCTCTAAGCACGGGGAACAATGGCAGATGTGGAGGCCCAGAGGCAAGAGAAGAGGACAGAGGGCAGGAGTCAACTGCATGTGTCCTGTCAGTACTTAGGAGCCTTTGAGGGGACAGAGAGTCTGAAGTTGGGGTGCGGGGAGCCTGGAAGACAGACCCTGGAAGTGGGGAGGCCCAGGCGCCTGGGCCAGGGCGGCTGTCCCTCTGTCTCCCACCTGTCCCACGGGCCACACACACTCCTGTCCCTGCTGCCCACTCTCCCCTCCATGCTCTCCTCCACCCCAGGGGCTCCCTGCGGCCAGGGTCTGACGCGGGATCCAGCCCAGCCTCCTCCCTTGGCCCCTGAGGCCCTGGTGGCCTGCTGGTGTGGCTGAGCGCAAGCAGGGCTGCCCTCATGACTCCTCTTTGCCTGCAGCCACGCCTTCCGCTTGTGGAGGGCCCTGGGGGCCGAGCAGCCCGTGAGCCGCCTGGTACTGGCCATCCTGCTGGCCTGGCTGCGGGAGCGGCCACTGCCCGCCGGGGCCAGAGACGGCAGCCCCCAGCCCAAGGACAAGCCCCGCCTGCGCTCGCTCGCTGTGAGTGTCCGCCGCCACTCCCGGACACCACCCCGGCTGCCGCCGAGTGGGGGCTGGCGTCCCGCGCGCGTGTCCATACTGGCGGCATCGGGCGCAGCCTCGGGGCGCCCAGCCCCAGGGAGGGCCAGCCCCGTGTCCAGGCCGTGGAAGCCGACCCACAGGGGGCCTCCGAGGCTGCGGGGCAGGGGCTGACCGCACAGGCCCAGCCCCCCACTTCCTGGCCGAGGGCTCTGGACTGCTACAGAGCCTGTCCCCCCTCCAAGAAGTGGGACAGTGGTGGTCCTGCAGGGCTGGACCAGGTGCGTGGCGCATACCCAGGATGTGGGACTCGCTGGGCGGGTGGCCTTGGAGCACAAGGGCTTCGGGAGGCAGGTTCCGGCGGAGGAAGAGTGTGGGGACAATGGTGGCCCCTCTGTCCACACTTGGGGCCTGGGGTTGTAGATTTTGGAGGAATCTTGAGGCTGCCTCTTGCCTCCTGTAGGAACCCCCTGCCCACCCCCGACCCAAGCCAGCCCTTCTCCCTGCACGGCCACAGGAACAGGGGCTCACGTCCTAACACGGCCACACCTGTCCTTGGCTGGACTCTGATGAGGCAGCAGCTGTGGCCCGAGCCCGTTTTCTCCCAGGCTGAGACCCACACCCCCCAGCCCAGAGCCCCCCAGAGCCCCTCCCCACCTGGAGCCCCCCAGACACGCTGCTGCCTGAGCACAGATGTGCGATGGCTGAACACGGCAGCAGAGGGGAGCTCCACCCTGTGTCCATGCCCGGCCCTCGGTCCTTCTCCTGAGCACCCCAGCCCCCCGCTGCTGCCGGCCCTTCCTGTCGGAAACCACACAGCAGCATGGGGCCAGCAGGGGGCCTCCTCCGGTCCCGCCACACCCCAAGCCTTGGCCTGGCCTTGTCATGACCGCCCAGTGCTGTCCTCCACCCCAAGAACGTTCTGGACCGAATGCTCCGATGGGCACAGGAAGCTCGGAGCTGCTGTCTGGCAGCCCTGCCTTCCGGGGTCATGTGTCCCCCCGGCTGTCACTCATTAGAGACCTCTGTGCTGACGTCCCATGGGGAGCACAGACCCATGCCGCCTTGTTGCCAGGCCACGGATCAGGGGCTGGACACGGGCGGACTGCAGACAGATCGGGCTGGTGGGGGCGCTGTCCCGGGACTTGCTGGGATGGAGGGCACAGGCCCTCAAGTGGGTCCAGGGAGGGAACCGAGAGGGCCAGGGCCCCCCGAGGGACATCTCAGAGATATGGCCCTGGTCCCAGAGGCTGTGACAGGAGGAAGATGCAGGTCAGACGTGCCCCTGCCCCCGACAGGCCATGAACACCCTGCATGAGCTGCAGTTTGCCCGCGAGTTCAAGAAGGCGGTGCAAGAGGCCTACCCCGAGATGCTCCTGGCCCTCCTCACCCAGACGCACTACATCTTGGAGCTGAACCTGCCGGAGGAGCCCCAGCCCGGCCAGAAGGCCCCCGAGGCAGCCACGTCCAGCCCGCAGAGGTAAGCCTGGAGCGCAGGCTCCACCTGCAGGGACGTGGACAAAGACGGGTATTAGCTTCCTAGGGCTGAGAGCGCAGTAGCACCCGGCGGCTCATAGATGCACGTGCCTGCAGGCTCGGCTCTGGAAGCTCGAGTCCAAGTGCAAGGCGTCAGCGGGGCCGCGCTCCCTCTGAAGCCTGTAGGGGAGGACGCTCCCGGCCTCTTCCTCTCCCGGTGCTCCCTGGTCTGCCGACGTCGCTGCCCCCTCTGCGTCCCTCCTCACCTGCTGCTCTCCCCTGCGTGTCTCTGTGCCGGTTTCCCTTTCATATAAGGACACCAGTCATACCGGATTAGGCCAACCTACTGGCCTCGTCCTAACTCGATTCCAGCTGCAAAGACCCTGTTTCCAAATAAGGGCACATTCACAGGTACAGGGTTTAGGACTTGGGCACAGCTTTGGTGGGACACGAGTCAACCCCTGAACACCACGATGGCCAGTGCAGCAGTCAGCACGGAGGGACTCAGGGCAGGCATGGGGTCTGTTCCCGGGCTCCCCGAGGTCACTTGGCAGCAGAGACACTCAGTGCCTGCTAGCATGTGAGGACTTCACGGAACAGCCCTTGCCATCTTCCCTGAATGTGGTCCTTGCAGGAATTCCGTGAGATGAATGTTGTCATCCCCACTGTACACATAAGGAACCTGAGGCTCAGAGAGGGTTAGAGGCTTTCCCCAAGACACACAGCATGCCCATGAGTAGCTGAGCTAGAGACTGTGGAATGGCAGGGCAGGGCCCTGGCCACTGCTGAGCCCCTCTGGGTCCCCTTGTGCATGGCTCTGACCCTGGTGCATTTTTGCCCTGACGTGACAGTTGCGGCCTCTGCCCCCCCTCCCCCCCCCCCCCCCCGCGCATCATGGACGGGACCCGTGTGTAGGAGGGTCCGCACCCAGCTATATTCCGCCACTGTCCAGGCTGGCTGCCTTGCCCTCCCTCCACGCTAGGTCATGTCTTGAGAAATCCAACAAGCTAGTGTTTAAAAAACACTGGGGCTGACTCTTCATTTGTTTGTATTACGATGTGCTTCACGTAATTTGTCAGTTATAACAGCTCTACCCAAGGCGTGTCACTGGAAAAAAATGTCTCTTCTCATATTGCTTGTGAATTCGAATATGCATAAAGTTCCTTTTTTATTCAGATCAACCATGCAAACTGCATGAATCTCCCTAATAAGCTAATAAAACGTTCTCCTCCCAGAACGTACGTAGGAGGGCTAGGGGGGAGCTGCAGCGAACCATCTCCCTCCATCCGCTCCCCCCCAGCCCTGCACCTGCCCGCATGGGCCCAGCCTCCCTGCTCTCCTGCCCCCCACCTCCCCCCACCCCCAGCCCGCTCACCTGCCTCCACGCTGCAGCCCAGATGCCATTCAAAACATGTCCATGGCCCCATGCCTCCTTGTCCCTCCCCACCTAATTCAGAAAGAGCCAGATCCTTTCAGTGGCCCAAAGGCCCCTCTCCCTCTGGCTCCCTGTTGCCTCCAGGACCCCATTTCCTGCCACACACCCCTTGCTCACACGGTCTGCTCCAGCCTCAGAGGTCTCCCTGCTGTTCCTTAAACCCAGAGTGCTCTTGCCTCAGCGCCTTTGCACTTCCTGCCCCCTCTTCCTGGAATGCTCGGCCCCAGATAGCCTAACCTCCTGTGAGTCTCTCAAAGCACCTTCTCTAAAATAGTGGTCCTACTCCCGCGCTGCTGTTCCACTCCTAAGGCCAGCACAGCCTACCAACTCTTATCTGCACCCTGTGGAATGGAAACTCCCAGGGAGCACAGGTGTCCCTCGTCGCACTGGGTTCCCATAGAGAGCCCAGGTGTCCGTCTGTCTCACTGGGCTCCCACAGAGAGCACAGCGGTCCGTCCGTCTCACTGGGGCTCCCATAGAAACCACAGGTGTCTGTCCGCCTCACTGGGCTCCCCCCGAGAGCACAGCTGTCCGTCCGTCTCACTGGGTCACTTGGGGAGCCTTCTTTTCTGACCGGCTGGATGGACATGCTCAAACAGCACCTGCCCTCTCGCCCCACCCCAGCTGCTGGGCCTCTCTCTAGGTGAGTCCTTTCCAGAGTGGAGGGAGGTGACCCCAGCAACTGAGGGACAGACTCTCACCCCAGGCATAGCCCATTGGCTCTGACTGGCCTGTCTTAGATCACATGCTCACCCCTGAACCGATCATCTGGGCCACAGGAACGTGTGGGACTCTAATTGCCCAGGTGGGGCTCCCATACCCTCCCCGGAGTGGGCACAAGACTTGGGCCCCACCTTACCCAGAGGGAAACCCAAAGGGCCCAAAGGAAGGACAGGCCAACCAACAGCGATGCCAGCCAATGGCCAGGGGTTGTCGGGAGGTTGGCAGCCGCTCCCAGGGCCTCAGAGGGAATTGTCACCCAGGTGGATCCCTGCCATCCAGGCTCTGATGCCTGGCAGCTTTGGCACCATCTAGGGGGACAAGGCCAAGGAGGGGATCTGGACACCCACAGCTGAGAGGCCTCCTGTCTTGTGGGTGCCCCTGGCCGCGTGGAGATGGCGCCGGACACTGGGTGGCAGCTCAGTGAGCCTAGAGGCAGTTCAGACTCCTAGGGCTCCGAGGTCCCCGGCATCCTGTGGAGCTGGGCCGGCCTCTGGGACCAGCAAGTGGGGGTTTGGGCATGGCATCCTCGCCCTGGGGGGCTGCAAAATCATGGCCAGCCCTGCCTGGGCGACCTTCTCTTTCCTTTGCATCTCTGACAAACAGAGCCCCTTTCTTAGAGACAGTAACTGCTTCAGTCAGTTCTCAGCTAGGTCCTCCTCCAGTCAATGTCCATCCTGCCCCACAAAGGGGGCTTCCTTTAGTTTCTCCATCATGGATTGACTCTTTAATTCTCATGGGGCATCTGATTTCTCTTTATTTCAGACACTCTCTCGGACCACTTATAAGTACAACCACCATATTTTCCTTTTGCCCTGGCTGCCAGTAAGCTCATATTTATTTATTTTTTTAAGGTTTTATTTATTTGACAGAGAGAAAGACAGCCAGAGAGGGAACACAAGCAGGGAGAGTGGGAGAGGGAGAAGCAGGCTTCCCTGCAGAGCAGGGAGCCCGATGGGGGGCTCGATCCCAGGACCCTGGGATCATGACCTGAGCTGAAGGCAGACGCTTAATGACTGAGCCACCCAGGCACCCCTGGAAGCTCATATTTAAAGTTAATTTTCAGTACCCCCCTATAGTGCCTGGTACTTCTTTTTGCTTCTCGTCTCCTGATTACTTGTCTTTTAAACTTAAAGCTTTAAAAATAAATAAATAAAAATAAACCTAAAGCTTTAAATTTAAAGATTTTTTATTTAAAACACAGTTCACAGTCCTGGGTTTTGGCACTTGACAAGGAACCAACAAGCAATTAGTAATGATATGCTGTCCGGGCCTGGATCTGAGATCCAAGACCCCATCCTAACCTCCCCCATGAGCACTCTGTATGGTGAGAGGGGTCCCTGCCCTCATGGCTGTGAGTGTCAGGAGTGTTGGTGGACTGGGCAGCCTCTGTTCTGGACTCAACCTAATGAGTGACCCTGGACAAGTGGCCAACACTCGGTGAAGGGGAAGGTGAGGGTTCGATTGCATGACCCCAGCCCCAGCACCTTGTCCATTTGCCCAGTTGGTATGTCATGGTCTTGGGGGCCCTGCAGGGAGGTGTGACTTCCCAGGGAGGTGAGCAAGGACTCCGGAGCAGGGAGGAGCCGACATGGCGCCCTGTCCCAGCCTCTGTCCTCTCTTACCACCCTGGGGTCCCCGCAGCCCTGCCCAGACCTGCCTCCTCTCCTGGCCCAGCCGACCCTGGGCCGGTGGCCTCAGCCGTGCCCCTACCCCCACTCCATGCTCCCTACAGCTCTTGGAGGAAAGGAGAAGTAGAAGGCCTGATGGACGGCCGTCCTTGTCAGCATTTGTAGGGGCCACTGTGTCCCCACTGTCAGCACTTCAGTACCGGCAGGCGCTTGCTGTGCCCCAGACCACGCTGATCACCAGAGATGGGTCCCTCTGCTCAGGAGCTCACAGCCCCGGGAAACGCAGAGGGGGTCAGGTGATGGCCCGGTGACAGATGGACAGATGACTCACTACGGAGAAGGCCCTGAGAGTCACCGCCTCCACAGAGGATGACCCGGAGCATGCAACCTGCCGTGTGGTCCCTGAGGACCGAACATCTGAGCTGACACCTGACTGATGGCTGAAGTCCCTGGGTGGGGGCAGGGAGGGCAGAGAGACTTAGGGGGAGGGGGCAGGAGGGAGGGCACAGGAAGGAGGCCTCGAAGTCAGCCTATATACCAGAGCAGTGGGGAGCCACGGAGGGCTCTGTGCAGAGGGAGTGGCAGGGTCTGATCAGCACTGGGGGTGGGTGGCCAGAGTGGGCATTGTCTGGGTGAGGAGGACCCAGCGCTGCCCTCCTGCAGCTCACATGAGACCGGGGGACTCCTGAGAGGGCATCTGGACTCCAGGCCCAAAAGACGAGGCCAGGGCCTCATGCCCGTATGGCACTGCTGGGGACGGCAGCGGACGGTGCCCGAAGCGTCGGGGGGTCAGACGGACGATGCTCGGGACGCCCAGCTCGGTGCCCACCCCACGCAGGCTTCATACACCCGCCCCGCCTGCTCCCCTCAGCCCGTCCGCACGCGCAGCCAAGGCGGCAGATGCTGGTGACACAGGAGACCCTCACACGCGGGAGGACGGCCACCTCCCAACACAGCCCCCACGGGTGGGGGTGTAAAATGGTGCAGCCACTGCGGAAAACAGCGGGACAGCTCCTCGAAGGGTCAAACACAGAATCACCACGTGATCCAGCTGTCCCAGGTCTGGGCAGGTGCCCCGAGACAGCGACCCGGCGGCCCACCCACCGTGTGCACAGCAGCATCCTTCCCAGGAGCCACGATGTGGAAGCCGCCCCAGTGTCCGTCACCGATGCCCGGGTCAGGAAACCGGGGGCCATGCTGACCCGCTACAACAGGGCTGCGCCGTGTGCTCACGGGCGCTGCGCCAGATAAGCCGGTCCCCGAGGGACACACCGCACGAGCCGCACTGCGCGGAGGGCCTGGAGCCGCCACGCCCCTGCAGACGGAGCGCGGACGGGGCGCCCGGGGCCGGGGGAGGGGCGTGCCCCGGAACGGGGACACTTTCCACAGCTGGACGAGGCGAAATGCGCTTAGTTCCGCCGAACCGTCGCAGAAGCGGGTAAGATGGGAAATGTGTCGCGTGTGTTCTACCACAGCCGAAGGCTACCGTGCAAGTTCACCGTCGGGTGTCGGGGGGTGCAGTCCGGCTGCGCCTGGGGCGGGCGTCGCTGGGGTCAGGCTGAGGGGGGACAGCCTCGGAACCCGCATGGCCGGGCTCATGCTCGAGGGCCTCCGTGTCCAGTTGGTCTGGGGGCTGCGTGGATTCCAGGCCACGCGCGTGGCTGGGCATCACCGGGCGTCCCAGGCTGGGGGTGGTTCCAGATTTCAGGGTCCTGGAGGGGGTGCTGATCCACCCGAGAATGCCCAAGTCGGCCGAATGCCGTCTTCCAGAGCCCTGGTGCAGCTGCTGGGGCACGGCAACCCTGCACACTGATGGCCTGGGTGCCCGGGGACCGGAAGCTTCCAAGAGTCAACACGGACGGGACAGAGCGCTACTCCACCCTGACGTCCCCTTCTCCTGAAACTGTCGTCACTCTGGCTGAGACCAGTGACCTGGAAAACGCTGCTTTCAGGGGCCTATCTTGGGGTGACAGGACCAGCCACCTGGCGTTGGGGTTGACGCCACCGGGGACTTTGACGGCATGGAACTCCATCCCTTGACACTGGGTGTTGCTCAGAATCATGCCTGGTCAGAGCTGACAGCCTCATCCTGGGGCCTTGCTCACACATCCAGGGTGATTCAACCAGTCACACGGGGCCAGGCAGATGTGACAAGGCGCAGGGTGGCTGGGATGGGAGACAGGCCACCGAGCGGGGCCGCCCTGCTATTCCGGGGCCTGCATTCCCCGGCCTTCTCCCCATGTCCCGCCTGCAGAGCTAGGGGCAGCCCTGGGCCTATAACCGAAACATCGCTAAGCGGGCTTGGAGCTGGGGGCCGAGCTGGGCTTTGCCTCCGCTGCCCCGGCCGGGCCACATGACCAGGACAGAGCACTCGCACCTCTGGTAGCCGATGAGCACAGGTCCTGCCTTGCTTTGTGTCTGGTGTACTTTCCTGAGCGCACACGCACCTGTGGCCAGTGGAACCTGTGTCCCCTGAGGGCAGAGCGGCGTCCAGGGTGGCAAGTGGACACTTCTCCGGGCTCGCAGGACACCTTGCTCCCCAGCTCGCCTCCTCCCTCCCCGCAGCACCCTCTTCGGGTTCTCAGCCCCACATTTAAATGGCACCATCCCCCAAGGCTCAGCCGGGCCCCTCTGTACCCCGAGCCATGGGAGCCCACTGATCTCCAGCCCTGTCCCCAGAGCTGCAGCCTCGGAAAGCCAGCCCCAGACACAACCAGGGGCCCCCTGAGATGCTCCTGGCACATCTCACACTGTCTGTGCCCCAGGCCAATCTCACACCCTCCCACAGTGCCCCCCACTCCTAAAGGGGCACCTCCAGTCTCCTGACCCAGCAACTGATCCTAGAGCCCAGGCCAGGGGCCTGAATGGACTCCTGCTGCCCCCTCAGCCAGCACAGCTCCCGCCCGTACCAGGCCTCACCCGCAGGGAGGCCTCAGGGCTGCTGGGGCCCTGGGCCAGGACAGGAGCCAGAATGGACCTTTCCACCCGGGCCAGCGGGCCCCCTCCCCAGTGGCAGGGCTGGCCCGTGACCCCCCTACCCCCCCGCAGCACGTCCCTGGAAGCGCTGAAAAGTCTGCTGTCCACCACGGGGCACTGGCAGGACTTTGCACACCTGGAGCTGCAGGGCGCCTGGAAGCTCTTCACCACCATCCACACCTACCCGCAGGGCGTGGGTCTCCTGGCCAGGTAGGAGTGGGGCCAGGGCAGGGGCCAGGGCCTGACCCAGGCCACCACCTGCCCAGGAAGCTGAGTGTATTGGCCACGGTGACCTCCAGGGCCCGCCCGTGAGCACAGCCCCCACGAACTCACACGCGTCCTCGGGCCTGGTCACACGCACACCCACCCGGAGCCCGTGGGTACAGGCGTCTTCAGCTAGCTCCACCCCGGCCGGAGGCCACCAGGGGCCTGCTCCTCTGTCTCCCACACACGCAGCCCAGGCCTGGAAACCAGTGGGCGGCCAGGGGGTACAGAGGGGCATCACAAAAACTCCAAGCAATGGGTGCCCGGCCCGCCTGCTGGGCCTGGGGGTGGTGGGAGGTGGAGCCCGGGCCGCACCCGCACGCCCAGGCCCTGCCCTGCCCTCCTCCCCTCGCCCCAGGGCCATGGTGCAGAACCACTGCAAGCAGATCAAGGCAGTGACCAGCCTGCTGCTGCCCAGCCTGCAGAGCAAGGAGGAGCGGGAGAGGAAGGCGGCCATCCTCATCCTCACTGAGGTAGGTGCCTGGGCAGGGAGAGGGGGAGCCCTCAGACACAGCCTCTTCCTCCAGCTGCCTCAGAGCCCCCCTCAGGACCTTGCCTGGATGGAGGCCCATCCAGATGACCCCTCCTACCCCTTCCTTTCCCCTTCTGGCTCCAGGGCGGTCTGGGGATCCTGGCTGGGCCCCCCACTTCTCGGGCCCCCATCAGCCTGTGGCCTGGATGAACCTGTCTGTTCACCTCTCCCTCCCTGGCCTGACGCCCATAGAGCTGGCCGGTCAGGCAGAACTGGGCTCAGCTCCGCCCCAGGGCCTGGGAGGCCAAGAGGGCCCTGGTTAGAACTGGAGAGGCGCGGGGGTGTGGCCGGCCTTGCCACTGAGGCTGGGGCCGTGGCGGGGCTGGTGTGGCCTCTCCATAACAGGGAGAACCCCAAACCAAAGCCCGGTGCCACTCCCCACCCCACCCACAGCAGGAAGGTCTGAGCCCCCCTCTGCGGGGCTCCATCCCCAGGTGTCCCATGAGCCAGGCCATGGCTGTACATTGGTCCCAGCCTTGCTGTGTGACATCAGGCAAGGCTCTTTCCCCCTCTGGGCTTTGGCTTCCCAGCCATACATGAAAGAGTTGAGGCAGCATGGGGGTGAGTTTCAAATACGTGTTAGCCAAGATACCCAGAGAGTGCTGACCCACAGCCCTCCCCAACACCCCTGCCAGACCCTGGTCCTCGAGCCCTGCTCCCAGACGCAGACGGAGGCTCCCTACAAGAAGGTGCCAGGCCTGACCCGCCTGCCCTTGGGGACTGCCCCAGTTCCTCTACAGCCCTGCCCTGCTGGAGGTGCTCCCCAGACAGGCTGCCCTGACTGCGCTGGCCCGAAGCCTCAGGGACCCCAGCCCCGAGGTCCGTGTGTTGAGCCTGCAGGGCCTAGGAAACATCCTTTTCCACCCAGAGAAGGTAAGGGCCTGTCACACACACACATACACACCCCACCAGAGCAGCTGGGTGCATGGGGTGTGGACGGGCCTACTGGGTTGGAATCCTGGCTCTGTCCCTTCCCGCAGTGTAGCTGGGGACACATGACCACCTCTCCGGGCCTCAGTGTCCTCATCTGTAGAATGGGGCTGGTGATGGCCTCTCGGTAGGGTTGTGGGAGGGGTAGAGTGTCTATTCCCCGGGGATGATGTCCCCTCTACACCCAGGAGGGAGACAACACTATCGCAGACCTCCAGGGGCCAAGGAGGGGCCCACCAGGTGGCAACCAAGCCTGGCCCTCAGAGGGGAACTTGCCCTGAGAATCTCAGGGGCAGGACTTTCCATCCCCCAGTGACCCATCCATCCCCGTCCAACCCCCCATCACTGGAACAGCCCACATCCCATGATGAACAGCAGGGGGCCTTAGCAAAGAGGCAGGAGAGAAGGCTCGAGACACAGCCCCCAGGGCATCTGGCCATCTCACTGGAGCCCGATGTCACCCCTGCTGTGGCTTCCTAGGGCGCCATGCCACGGTGGGGCGCCCAGATGACCCAGCAGGTTACCAGGCCCATCCCATCCTCACCCCAGCACTTTCTAGCGGGCACGTTTCTTCAGCACCTTGGCCGGAGTCAGTGTCCATCTCTGTGACAGGGGAGTGGTCATAGCACCTGTCAATGAGTGCCGTGCTGAGTCCATGCAGCTGAGTCCTCCAGCCATTTGCTGTCACAGGCTGCAGCCTTTTATCCCTGGCCCCAGTGGGGGACCTGCCGGTGACTGCTGCCATACAAGAGAAATGTCAGAGAGATTTTCCCACCTGATCCGGAGGTACACGGCCTCCACCTCCCCCATCCACCTCAGGGGCTACATGAACACCCAAGAAGACGGCAAGATGCCCAGACCCCATCTCTTCTGCTGAACATAAGGACTTTCAGGGCTTGTGGCAGAAAGCGTCTGATGGCAGAGGGGCCATGCCAGGGCCAGGTTCCAAAGAGATTGCAGCCTTCTGCCCATCAGCTCACTTCACTCCCATTTTGTCCACCTTACATGTCTCCGCATGGTTAAGAGATCTCCATTAAGGTCGCTCCTGGCAAAGCCCTTTGCCCTGCACATGGCACATCGTAGGTACTTAGTAAGGGAGATTAGCACTTCTTCATTCATCTGCCCATCCATTCGTCTATGTACCTATACACCCCTCCACCCAGCCATCCGTCCACCTATCCGTTCATCCACCCACCCATCTGCCCATCCATTTGTCCATCCGTCCATCTGTCCATCCATCCATCTGCCCATCCACCCACCCATCTGTCCATCCATCCATCCGTCCACCTATCCATTCATCCACCCACCCATCTGCCCATCCATCTGTCCATCCATCCGTTCATCCACCCATCAGCCCATCCATCTGTCCATCCATCCATCTGCTCATCCACCCACCCATCTGCCCATCCATCCATCCATCCACCCATGCGCCCATCCATCCATCCACCTATCCACTCATCCGCATGGTTAAGAGATCTCCATTAAGGTCACTCCTGGCAAAGCCCTTTGCCCTGCACATGGCACATCGTAGGTACTTAGTAAGGGAGACTAGCACTTCTTCATTCATCTGCCCATCCACTCGTCCATGTACCTATACACCCTTCCACCCATCCATCCGTCCACTTATACGTTCATCCACCCACCCATCTGCCCATCCATCCTTTCATCCACCCACCCATCACAAGCAAACCCAGAATGCACCTGTTCTCCCACTGCCCTGCTGCCCTCACTGAAACCACCAGCATCTCCCCCAGACCACTGCACCCCCCCTGCCTGGTCCCAACAGCTGCCCCTTCTCCTTTTCAGTGCAGGCCCCCCCCAGCAACCAGTAGGCTCCTGTGATGATGATCTGAATCAGTCTCTCCTCTGCTCACAAACAGAGCAGGTGTGCTCCTGCCTCAGGGCCTTTGCACATGCTGCGCCCTATGCTGGTATGGTTTTCCAGCACCTCTGTAAGAATTCCCTCAGTGGTCACCTTCTTGGTGACACTTTCTCTGATCCTAGTCACTTAAAATTAAATATTTTTAACCACCACCACCCCCACGGCCTCCACTGCAGCCTGCTCCATCCCCTCTTCTCTCAGATTGCTTGCCACCCTCTGACACGCATTGTGTTGTGCGTGCTTCATTTATTTCTGGTCTTTCCCATTAAACCCCATTCTGCCTGTTCCATCCTCTGCCAGAACCCTGGTCCTATCCCAGCACCCTCACTGGGCCCAGTAGATGCTCAGAAAGGGTTTGTTGCTGTTAATTGACTCATTGGCTGAAAAAGTTTAATATTGTAAACCAAACAGCTCAGGAAGCCAATGATGTGGCCTAAAACTTGTTTTAAAGTTGTAAAAATCACCCTGGCTCTCACACGCTATCAAGGGGCCCAATGGCGGGAAACATCCATTTGCCGACATCTTGCCGTCCAGCCGTTCATCTGGACAGTTATCCATCGCCAGGCAAACAAGACGAGCAGACAGAACTGGCTGAAAATGAACTCAGTCTTGTGTAAAGTAGTGTAAATGTGGCAAGTGGTCATTGTGATGGGAGGGGCCAGTGAGCTCAGTCCATGCACACCTCACCAACCTTGTCTCGTCCTGCCCCCAGGCCCCGGCTGACCCACAGGGAAGCCGGGAATGGGGGCGAAGGCAGGGTGAGGAGGAGGAAGGGGAGGGTGGTCTCCAGGACTGGGCGAGGGGCCTTCTGGCCAGCATGGGGACAGGCGGAAGAAGAAGCAGCTGGGAGCCCACTAGCCGGGGGTTAATATCCCTTAACCCCAGGAGGCCCCCCTCAGAGAGGGAAAGCCCCATCCATGCCCACACAGCTCCTGTGGGCAGACCAGAGCTAGGAGCACAGCTGCCCTGTGCGCAGAGCCAGGATGGGATCCCAGCGAGGTGGGGGCACAGTGCCGGGCAGGCATGCAGGGGGATGCAGGTGCCCAGGCCAGGATGGGGGCTGGGGAGGGGCCGCGGGGGAGGGCCCGAGTTGGTTCCAGGTGCAACTGGCAGGCTGGGGCAGGACACAGGAGTAGCCCGTCCCAGCGCCCTTAGCCCACCGGCCCCCACCACCCCCAGGGAAGCCTGCTCCGTGGACAGCTGCCGCCCTTCCTCGACGGCTTCTTCCAGAACAGCGAGCAGGTGGTCGTGCAGGTCATGGGCACCGTGTCGGACATGCTGCACCGCCTGGGGGCACATGGCGCGGGCGCCCAAAGCCTTGGGGTCGCCATCAACGCCCGCTTCTTTTTTGACGATGTGAGTGCCCCCGGGTGGAGGCAGGGTGCCCCTACCTGTACCCCTCCTGTGCCTACCCCTGGTCCTCAAAGGCGGGGGACCCCAGCTCCCTCCACCTGGGCTGGGGAGACCCCGGGGAGATACCTGGGTGTGCAACTGGGACACCTGGGCCAAGCCGGGCCGAGTGGCCGCCAGGTGGCGCTCGGCCCCTTCTCCACGAGGCTGGACCTGAGGCAGCCTTCACCCCTTCAGCCCCGCGGTCCTCACCTTCCCAACTTGTCCCGCGTCCACAAGGACTGTTTCCCTTCACTGGGGAACTAGAGGGATGAGCTCCGCACCACCCCCCCAGCCGCATTCGTGACCCTTGGGTAGTCAGGATGAGATTGTGAGTGAAGGAGACATGAGTTCAGGTCCTTGCGGAAGGCCTGGGACCCGCGAGGGGGCCTGTCTGACGGGGGGAGGCACGGCCCTGCCCCGGGAGCCCAGAGCCTGGGGAAGGGGCTCAGCCGCAGGAACTGAGCCCCATCCCCTCCACAGGGTGGGGGTCCCGGTTGGGTGGGGATGGGGGCCCCAGGCGGGTTCAGCTGAGGCTCTGAGCCTGTGCCTCGCAGGAGCGGGATGGGATCCGAGCGGCGGCCATGGCATTGTTTGGGGACCTGGTGGCAGCCGTGGCGGGCAGGGAGCTAAGCGGCCTGCGGACCCAGGTGCACCAGAGCATGGTGCCCCTGCTCCTGCACCTGAAGGACCGCTGTCCGGCCGTCGTCACGGTCAGTGCCTGGTGAGGGGCTTTCTCCTGGGCGGGGCTGGGGACCCATAGGTGGCCGTGAGGGGTGGGGGCCGGGGGCTGAGGCTCTGCAGATGGCGGTAGGGCCGCCCGAGGGCAAGGCTGCTCCCTGGGGCAGCAGTGTGGACCCGGGGTGTCTTCCCTGGTGGACTGAGGTCCACCCTGTGCACACGCGCAGCTGTGCGGTCCGTGGGGGCAGGACCCGGCCTGTGGCACTCACGGCTGTGTCCCCAGCACCGGACACAGGCTGGAGGCTCGGGTCGTTCACTGAACGTGGTGAAATGATCGAGCTTCCCCAGGCGCCAGCCGTGCCCTGTGCTGTGGCCAGTAAGACACAGCCCGGCTCCCCAGGATCCTGGCCGTCGGGAAGACGGGCAACACGCGGCCAGCTCCAAAGGGAATGGGAGGAATGGGGCCGCCTGGGGCAGCAGTGCGGGCCGGCCCGGGGCGGAGGGCGGCTGAGAGGACGGCCTCAGAGCCCACAGGAAGCTCGTGGTCTGGGGAGGGGACGGCCCTCCGGCGCGGAGCGCCCGGGCGGCCGCTGAGCCCTGCGCTGGCTGCCCCTGCAGCAGGCCAAGTTTGCCCTGTACCGCTGCGCGGTGCTGCTCCGGTGGCCCCTTCGGCACACCCTGTTCTGCACGCTGGCCTGGGAGAGGGGCCTCAGCGCCCGCCACTTCCTCTGGACCTGCCTGGTGAGGGGCCTGGGCGAGGGAGCCGCTGCGGCGGCGGGGAGGCCGGGAGGGCGAGCGGGGGCCGGGCTCCGGGCTCGCGGCTCTCGTGCGGTGCGCACCGCACACCCGGCCGCGGGGGCGCGGGGCCCGGGCCGGGGCGGGGGCCGCGGGGGCGGGGCCGCGGGGGCGGGGCCGCGGGGGCGGGGCCGCGGGGCCTCGGGGGCGGGGCCGCGGGGCCTCGGGGGCGGGGCCGCGGGGCCTCGGGGGCGGGGCCGGGGCCTCGGGGGCGGGGCCGGGGCCTCGGGGGCGGGGCCGGGGCCTCGGGGGCGGGGCCGGGGCCTCGGGGGCGGGGCCGGGGCCTCGGGGCGGGGCCGGGGCGGGGCCGCGGTCCAGCCAGCGTGGCGCGCTGTCCTCCGGCCAGATGACGCACAGCCAGGAGGAGTTCGGCATCCACTTGGCGCAGGCCCTCCGCTCCCTGCACAGCCGCCACCAGCACGTCAAGACCTGGGCGGCGCTCTTCATAGGTGAGCGGGCGGCCGGGCTCAGGACCCTCCGGCCGGCCCTGCCCCCGCGCCCTGCCCCTCAGCTGCCAGGCCGCCGCAACGGAGGGCAGAGAGGAGGGGTGGGGGCGAGGGGCCCCGACGGGCAGGAGAGGGTCTGAGCCCCCACCCGCCAGCAAGCCCCCGCCACCGGCCGGCGCCTCCATCTCTCACACAGGTCACACCCTCTGCTACCAGCCCCAGGCCGTGTGCCAGATGGTGAACAGTGTAGACACAAACCTGCTGTTCTCCAGTAAGCAACCCCACGTCCCCCCCCCTCGAGTGTGAGATGGGGGCTCACACCCACTCACGCCACCTGAGGCTCCCAAGGAAGAGGTGGGGTTGGGGAGGGCAGCACCCCAGGCCTGGGAGGCAGAGGAGGTGGAGTCTGGTGACGTCCCGCTGCTGCCCCCACCCCCGCTGGAAGGAGGGGCCCAGACCCCAGGCTCCCTCCACCAGGACGGGGCTGTGGGCAGACGGGACCCCGGGTCACCTCTGACTTGTGTCTCCTCCCCTGGAGCTTTTGAAGATCTCAAAAAAGACCCAGAGCCCAGCATCCGGGAATTTGCCACCAGACAGTTCTCCTTCCTTCAGAAGGTGGCAGCCAGACCGCAGTGACCTCCAGCCATCCTCCCTCACCCTCCTCTTCCTCTCCTGTGCCCCCCCTGAATCGGTCAGCCCCGCCCTGTCCACACAGAGCTGGGTTGCATAACAGTTTTCCATTTGAAAGAAAGATCTAGATTCAACAAAGAAGCGTCACACCTGTCTGCTCCCTGCCCACCACCTCATGGCCCCCAGAAGACGAGGCAAGCCCAGGGGACACTGGCAGGCCTAGGGGACAGGGGGCAGACCAGGTCTCCCAGAGACAAACCGTGAAGTCTGGGCAGGGTCCCGCAAATGACAGCTGTGGAGGTCAGGGGGACTCCACCTGACCAGAGCCCACGCCATGGCCCGCCGGCGTCCTGAGCGCCGAGAAGGCCCTCCAAGGGCAGCCACAGGGGGATGGAGCCATTCACCAGGACTCCCCCCACACCTGAGTCTTCAGTTTGTCTCTCGCTTGGAGCTCTAGAGTCACCAAGGGGCTGGCAGTAGGGAAACGGTCCCTTGGCGGGCCTCCCTCCAGGGGACTCCAGGTCTCCCTCCACCCTGACCCCTATCCTCGTGGGCACCTGAGGTTCACAGCAGACCCAGCCTGGGTGGGAGCCAGACCTTCCCAGCGGGGCCCACATGAGCTATGTGGCCTAGGCAACGGTCTCTGCCCGCTCTGCCTCAGCTACTCCATCTGTAAAATGGGTAGTAAGGCCTTCCTCCTGAGAGCCCTCCCAGGGCTGAGTCCAGAGGAGGTCCCTCCCTGGCAGGGACCCCCACCTCCCAGGCAGCCACCTGGAGGCCCGCCTGACCTTCAGCCAGGTCCTCCCTTTTCAGCCTTGGTTTCCCCACATGTGAAATGGGCAGGTGGGTCTTTCCGTTGCCTGCTGAAGTTCCTCCTAGGGCCTCACCCCCAGGCTGGCCCTCTCAAGACCCCCACCAGCTGGCCCCTCACCAGCCTTATCCGTCACGTGCCCACACTGACCCCTCCACACCTTTGCTCAGGAAGCTCTTTCCACCTGCAGCACCTTCCCCACTCTCTCCCACCTGGGGGCCTCCACACTGCCCCCTCCTCTGAGGACGAGCCCCACCAGAGGGAGCCCCCACCCCAACCCGTCCTCAGCCCCGGGGCCTGAGCCACCCCTCCCTTGCACCAGACACACTCCAGGCTTTCACCCACCCCACCCCCCAGAGTCTGTAAGCCCCTTGGGGCAGGGAGGCAGCTGAACGGGGCTGGCCCAGGGAGGCCCGCCACTTGGATGGTGGGTTGAAAAAATACAGCAATCTTCATGGAGCACGAATTTGCTTCTCAGATGGGTTTCATTTGGTCGAGCTGGGGGCCCGCTCTCCCCCTGGGAGCCCAGAGAGGGCCAGGATCTGCAGGCCCCTTCTTATCCATCTGTCCATCTCTGAATAGAGCCACCCGAGGACTTTGGGGGGGTGCCTTTTCCCGACTCCCATCCTGAGCACTGACCTCCATGGTATTCCAACCCCCTGGCTGGGGCATGGGGGGGTGTGCTCCTTCAGAACCAAGGAGTGGGTTAACAGGGTCCCCTTGGTCCAGCCTGGTGGCTGTGGTCCCTAAAAGGACCCCTAAAAGGGGGGCATCATCCTCTGGCCCCTGCTGGGTGGTGGGTAGGCAGGCCTCCTCCACATTCTGCTCTGGGAAGTCTGGTTCAGTGAAAGCTTGGAGCTGGTGGGCCTGGACCCAGTGGGTTCCCGGAGCCGACAGTGACATGACAGATAAGCCTTGCATCTGGAATCGCAGAGGGGCCCAACTCCTACCTAGCAGGGCAGCTGGGCTCTATGGAGCCGGGCACATGGAGGGCACCCCATTAATGGTACCAGTGGTAACAGCTCACGGTCCGGCCCGCTGCAGCAGCCCGGGAGACAGAGGGACGGGCCTGTGTCCCCGTTGGCCAACCCCCAGGGCCCCGAGGAAGGGGCGGCTCGCACAGGCGCCACCCCCCCAGGGCCGTACGTGCAAGTACTAGCAGAATGGGCCCAGCCAAGGGCACCTGCCTCCAAGCACAAGACTCTGTGCCGAGGCCCAGCCCCTGCCCTTCCTGGGCACGCCTCCTCCCCTGGGAAAAACAGAAGGGGTGACAACCAGGTGGCTAGGGGAGCCCTTCCCCACAGACCTTTCCCAGAGTGTGTGTAGGTGCAGGCAGAGGGAGGGAGGCTCAGGCCATGGAGATGCAGGTGGGAGGTGGGGATGCCAGGCCCGGAGCTGTGACTCCTAAGACAGGCACTGTGTCCCAGGGACGGGGAGGAATGCCAGGGTGGTGTCCACCGCTGGGTCACAGTGCCTGGGGGCAGGGGCTCTGGCACAGACCACCCTCAGCCTTTCCACATGCCAGCCAGGCCAGCCCTGGGAGACTGCGGCCCACAGGGAAGAGCCGGCCCCCACCCTGGGAGACCTGCATGCGGAGGCATGTGAGCACGGCCGTGCATGCCCCCAGGCAGGGCTGGCGGCCCTCTTGCACCCTCAGACTCACTCACCCCATAGGCCCTGGGGTCACCCTCTGGCCTCCCCTCCCTTCCCTGGGCCAGCGGGATGGTGTGTCCCTCCATCGGAGCCGAGCCGGCCACCACCATCTGCACCCTCCTCTAGGCCTCTAAGGCTGAAATGAGGACATCTGGTGGTGGCAGGACTGAGCGGCCACCCCACTAGACACAAGGCCCTAAAGAATTCCCAAGGGAGCCCCAGCCTGTCCTGCAGAGGGGCAACACTGGTGACCCGGCCTTGCCTTCTGATGCCCCAGTCCCCCCCCCCCAAAAAAATAGCAAGTCACCTGGGCCTGCGCAGGTCACATGGGAGTGGTGCCAGCTCTGCCACATCAGGGATGTCCCCTGCCCCTAATCCAGGGAGTGTGGGGACCCAGCATGGACGCCAGGGGGAGCCCCAGCGCAGCCGGCCAGACGGCCTCCCTGGTCTCCACCCAGTCTCCCAAGCCAGGGGCCCCCCCGCCCCCCGTCCACCCCACCCGGCCCTGCACCCCGCTCTCCAGACACACACAGCCACGGGGTCCTGTTTTATTGCCTTCGAGTGTCCAGGACATCTGACGGTCTCCAGACCCAATAATTGAAAGTGCCAAGAACAGGTCAGGGTGAGAGGCCGTGGAGGAAGGGTCAGGCCCAGTGGCTAAAAAATACACCTGCTCCCTGACAAATGAGCCTGAGAGGAAAGCTGCCCGGGGGACCCTGTGGGTGGGCAGGGGCAAGAGGGCCCCAACTAAGCCTCAGAGAGACAGGGCTGTGGGGACGAAGGGAAGCGCGGGTCCCCAGAGCGGCGGACTCGGGCACACGGAGACACACGGGGAGAAACAGAGGAAGGAGCCAGCACAGGGCACACAGGGCGAGCTGGACCCGGTGGACAGGGGTGCCGAGGGTCCGGGAGAGAAGGCGAGCCGGCGGCAGCGGGGCACGGGGTCCCTTCTCGGAGCCCCTGGGCTACATGACGCAGCACTTGGTCTTGTGCGCGTGCGGCTCCTTGAACCGCAGTCTCTGCTTGGGCCGGTACTTCTCCAGGTAGGTGAGCTGCTTGCTGTTGATGGCTCCACGCCGCTTCCTGGGGAGACGGGACAGGGGTGGGGTCAGGCAGGATGGTGCAGCACCCGCCCAGCCTATTCCCCTGTGGGCATCACCCTTCCCCTACCTGCTGTCACGGCCGCTGGTCCTCAATTCCCCTTGCTATCACCTCCTCCAGGTACCCCCCACAGCACTCACCCTCCCAAGGCCCCCTGGTTTACCCGGGTGCCACCCCACCCCCAGGCCACGGGCTCCTACGGGGCCACAGGGTAGAGCCTGGGCATCTCTGCAGCCCAGGAGGGAGGGAGGAAGGGAGGTCCTCAGGTGACAGGTGACAGGATGCCCTTCAGGAGGTCATCCGTCCCCACCCACCCAGGACCTCAGGCATAGCCTGGACTTGCTCTGGCCAATGAAGTCAGAGTAGAAGGGACACGTGTCTGCCAGGCAAGGCTTCCAGAGGGCCTCCAGCCCCGAGACTGGCAACACTGGAGGAGGGCTGCCCACCAAGGGCCCCGGGGTCCCCGAGCGGAGCCCCCACTTCACCGCGTCCAAGGGTCATCCAAGTGAGGGGCCAGCCTGAGCTGTGCTCGCTGCTGGGGTCTGGACCTGCCCGGCCCTGCAGCCTGTGCTCACCCCAGCCACGGAGCTGGGAGCCCCTCCTCACCCACACCTCCCGACACCAGGAGCCACACACAGGCACCAGTCCTCACCCGGGCAGACGGCCTGGCTACGGGGCCCGCATGAGTGTGTCGGTACCCCAGCGTGAGGCTGCACGGGACTGGGGACATCTCTGAGGTCACCCTGTGGCCAGGGGTCAGGAGTGCCCACTGGCAAGACGCTGGGCCCGATGGGGGAGGTGCAGAATAAGGGCCCCCTAAACCCAGACCCTCAAGCGCGCACCAACTGCCCTCCGCCCCCACCCTCGCCGGCCACTCACTGTCGGATGAACTGGATGGCATCTTCATACTTCATCCCGCTCTCGATGAGAGCCAGTGCCACGAGGACCGGGGCCCTGGGAGCAGACGCAGGGCTGGGTCACCAAGCCTCGGCACCCCTGCCCCTTCCCCTGATGGGCCGTCACTGAAGGCACAGGGTGACGCCTTCACCCTCACACCCACCAAAAAGCTGCCCAGGCTCCCCCAGTGCAGCCCCCTCCCCCACGGAGGGCACAGGTGGCAGCTGAACCCGACCACCTGCTGCGTGGCCCCAGGTGGGCCAGGCACCCTCTCTGTGCCTCAGGCTCCCCGGCTACAAGCACGCTGGAGAGTCAGAGGGAGGGCAGCTGCTGGGGGTGTGTCTGGCCATCAACCTCGCTTGCCAGTGTCTGGCCTGAAACTGGGGGTGCACTGCCCGGGTCACTCGGTCACACCTGGCTGCAGGGAGTCTTTGTGTCTGGGGGGCGGGCTGGCAGCTCCTCCCAGCTTGAGTACAGGGGCCACGTTGCATCCCAGCAACAGGGAGTGGGGTCACCCTTGGGGAAGGACTGCTTCCCTGTGGTCACGTGACGGGGGCCCAGCACCCACGTACAAGAGCGTGGCGGACCACAGGATCCTGAGGTCCGGCCAGCCCCGGCCCCCCAGCTCACCGTCCCAGGCCGGCCACACAGTGAACGGCCACACAGCTGCCAGGGTCATCACAGAACTTGGCCTTCAGCAGGCTCAGCCAGTCCTCCACCACTTTCCCAGGTGGGGGCGCCCCGTCGTCGAACGGCCAGTCCTGTGGAGGGCAGAAGCCCGTGAGACTGGGGGGCCCGGGCCGGTCAGCCCCCGGCCGGGACAAGGTCGGCATTCTGAGAAGCACACAGAGGGATCCCACGAGGGTGAGGGACAGCAGGCCCCGGAGGGCAGAGAGCTGGCCAGGCATGCGGTCCCCACTTCGAGGCTCCTCATCCTCTTCTGCTTACATCCGCTGTCCCCTTCTCCAGGAAGCCCTCCAGAACACCCCGCCCTCTTCTTTCCTGAGCACAGTGAGCCCTACGTCCCCTCCCGGCCAGCCCGCGCTGTGACTCCAGGGTCACAGCCTGACCCTTACCAACCTGAGTGTTTCTGGGTCAGCAGGCCCAAGGAGTCTGGGCTGCAAGCATGGCCGACATGTGCCTCTTCCTGTCCCCAGACCCCAGCCCAGCCGCACAAAGCAGGCCCAGCCCGGTTACTGACCGGGAAGGAGTGAAGGAAGGCACTAGGGTGAGCCCCATTGTTCTGAGCAGTGGATTCCAGACAGTTACAGCTGGGACCTCTCCAGACACTCGGGGATTCATTCGGTTTTGAAAACTTGGCTGTGCCGCCCACCTCCCCAAGCACTCTGGAAGAGGCGAGGCGAGCCTGCAGGGTAAGCCCAGCCCCGGTCACTGCCCCGAGGACCGAGATGCTAAGTCCCGGTGAAGGAGACTCAGGCAGGGCAGAGGGGAACTGCTCCCAGCCAGAGTCCACACGGGCCCAGCAAGACTGACAGGGAGGCGGGTCCCCGAGTGAAAGCTAGTAACTAAGGGATCTTCTGGGTGGGGCCACTGGACTCCCACTGCCCCCACCCCCACTCCGAGCCTTGGGCAGCCCCCTGCTAGGGGAGGTGCCACAGCCATGTGGCCCGTCCCACAGGCAGGTGGCAGCAGGGCCACCCCCTCCTTTGCCTGCTCTCGGGTCCCCAGGGCCAGGGGACCAAGGAAACAGCTCCCAGGCTCCCTTCCCCACAGCCTCGCAGAGAGCTTCCCGGGGGGACAGCCCAGGTGCGCCTGCCCTCCCCACCCCCCAGAGCACTGCCCACTG